TGTTCAGCGACTTTACCGCTCGGCCGCTGGTGGGCCTAAATCAATTTGTGTAGACTGAATAGTGCGGTCGATTTTAATAAAATGATTAATGTTACCTTCGAGTTCCGAATAATCTCCGTCAGACATCTAAAGAGTATAATATATCAAGTTTCTGTTGTTTATTTAAAGTTTCAAAGAAATATTAATATTATACTTCGTCGAGTCGGTTGTTTCGAAAGCGAAATGTCCATAAGCTTTGTATGCATAAAATAAGTGCGGGGTAATGAGCTCAACGTAACGCGAAGGCGTGTCGGCGCAATTAGGCTGTAGGTTTAATTCAGTAAAGTAAGGCAGAAAAAGATGTCACCAAGAACAGCACTTTAGTTAAAAGAATTCAAGGCTAACGTAATAAGACAAATAAAATACGCCACTTATCCTCCCACACAGGAAATTGGGAGTCTTCGTCATTCACAAAAATATTCCTCGCTCTATTTCCTGCCCTCGATTCATGCATCATATTTTTCGCCTTCCGAAAGGCCAAGAATTCAGATATTGTGGAAAAGTGTTTATTCCTATTTTTTTCATCGTCCCTGTATATTTAAATGATCCTTATCAGCGTCACTCAATGTCTGGTGACTGCCATGATGAGTGAATCAATCATACAGCCATAAATTTTGAAGGCGCATTATTCTTCTTTTGAGAGAATAAAGAACTTCTTAAATATACCATATCTTTATGAAGCACTTCCAAAGTCAACTTACGTGTACTGAATTTTCTTCATTGTTTCGGAATATTGCATTCACTTATTAAACAGATTCAAGGAAACCGGATTCAACAAAAATGACATGAAAAAATGCGTTGCTTGCTTTCTTTACACATATGAAGTAATTTATTTTAAAGCTGACATGTACATAAAATCCAGTTTTTACATATTTTTCTCTGTTCTCATTCCATATTATCTAGATCAATTTCATTTTTGAATTTCTATCACATGATGATTTAATATTGATTTGGCTTATTATAAATACAATCGGTATTTATTAATATTTAAGTGTTGAAATAATTTTAATTTATCAAAAATAATGAAACTATATACTTGTGTGCGGTCTTAAAAATTCATCTTTTCGGAAGACAAAAAAATGTATTTTGCTTTCTTTCCTCTTGTACTTTGTAAAGTCTGAGGAAATAGTCAGTTTAGGTTTATGGCAGCAGAAGAAAGCTATTCAAATAATAAAAAAAAGGCATAAAAACTGTAATTTAAAAAAGATATCACCTTAGGATTTCCTTTAAGTTAAAATGTCCCCTTACTGATTGCTTGAATTCTTAATGCAACTTTACAATAATTAAAAATATAACTTCGAGGGAAAATTTTGAAATGCTATAGAAGCAGTCCTCTTGTTAAAAAAATGTCACTATTAGCCTAATTTACACACACTGAAGATAAAAATACAATTCCTGATATGTTATTTAGCAAGGTCTTACCAGATGTAGGATTACATTTTTTTCCGCTTATTTATTCTTTTCTTGCTCTTATTGAAACCTACAAGTTTATCATGTTTCTCCTGGAAGTGTCCTTTGTTATTATTAACATAGTGTCATTAGGCATTTTAATTAAGAATTTTATTGCATTTTTGCTCTTTTAAGTTCACTTAATAAGCAAATGATAAAATACATTGCAAGAACTCATGCAAATTTGTATTCTGTTTATAATTATATGAAATGTCAAGTTTGAAGCATGTTGGTAATCAAAATGTCGAGAGTTTTCTCAATAAAAGCTTTCAAAATAAAAGTCAGATATACTTCAAATTAAAAAAAAAAAAAAAACGCAGGGTGTTCTTTATAATTATTCAGTACTATAGACATCTCAAAATGGCAGATTATTCAGCATATTAGTTTACATGGTAATTGTATAAAGTTTTATATTAAATAACTGTTACTTAATTTAATAATTTATTTAAATTATTTCGATCAAGCTTAACTATCCAGCTGTGCCATTGCTTCAAAAACGATTCATTTCGCTCCTTAAAAGACGCAAATTAACATCGCGAAGTAATGTTATTATTATTATTATTATTATATTGACTGTACTATTAATTCGAATTCGCTACAGAGAATCTGTTAGTTATACCCTGCTGTGCGTCATGTTTTAAATCAGTATTTGCGAAAAAACTATCGTTATGTAATTATAATCTAACTCGCAACAATTAATTCAACTTTGTATATTTAAACTAACTTGAAAAGAACAGATGAGTATGTACCTATAACGAGGCGGCGTGTTTCAGTGTGTGTGTGTGATTATGGCAAAGCCTCGAGGGCTATCTGCCTAAGGGGAGGGATGCCTTCGTGGAGGACTTTCTAAGGGAAACTGGCTCGTATACACGTTAAACATGAGGAAAACCACGAAAACGCCCATGCAGCCAGCCCGTTCGCGGGATTGAACCTCGGACTGAACTACCAGTGTTCAGCGACTTTACCGCTCGGCCGCTGGTGGGCACCGTGTTTCAGTGATAATTTGTTCCTTTTGTATTGAAACTTCTAAAAGGTCAATAATAAATTGTAATTGGTGCATTTTAGTCACATTATGTTGTGATGGTCTCTGATAAATTTCTCTAATATTTCGCATTTTGCCTGTGTTATTCTAAAGTGAAATTTACATTGCATTTTGTCTAAAAGGCATATGCTCACTAAAGACAACGTAAATTTGGAGTGATATCAAAGTTGTGTATGAAATATATATAAAATGTTCCTTTGCGTCAGAGTCCAAACTCTAACAACATGCAAAAGATATACATTCGAATTTGGTCATTTCAACAGATAAAAATACACGTTTTTTTAAATATATAAGCTTTATTCTAAATAGTAGGCTTCTGGAAATCACCGAAAATTTAAATATCGACTAATAAGAAAAATTATGGATTTTGTTAACTGAATAAAATTTTGTACAGAAATTCACAAAATAATGCAGAAATTCAAAAAATAGCACTGGCTTTCATTACTCAGGACTATCTCCTAGAAAATGGAAGAATATTAATACGAATCAAAGTGTATAATTTAAGTAAAGTTGTAGAGACGTTAGGTAGTTTTGGAAGCGGGCAAGATAAAAAATTAGCAACGCCTTCGCCGGGAATCGAACCACGGACCTCTCAATTACGCGCCGAGCGTGCAGACCACTACACCACGTAGGCTCGCTAAGAAGGCGGGAGAAATACCTTATAAAGTTGTAGGCACTAAAAATTATTGCTCGTTCTTGATTTGATTTGGAGATGTGTACCGATAAAATTAAAAGCATTTTAAAATAAAATTGGGAATTTTAATTTCTTTTACTACCTATTGTATAGATAGAACTAAGGAGATCCAATTAGTATATTTATATAGTAAAATATAAGAACTTGACAAAATATGACTAATAATCACACTTCAGATATTTTAAAAAATACTCCTTTTTTATTTAAAATTTTTTCCTTCAAGAGCTAATTAAAGAAATACACACATAAAAAATATTTCGAAAAATAAATCCTTCAGAGGATACTCATTTTTTTTTTCTTAATGGTAAGCAGAATGTTTAATAAGTCGGAAAAGAGCTAGATTAACTAACATGCAAGATAGCTAGTTTTATTATTTCAATGTAGGATATTAAAAAAGGTCTGCCCTTCAAGCTGTTTATTGCTTTTACTGAACAAGTAAATCTTTTAAAGAGCAAGATCAACAAAAAACGGTATGTAAATGTTCCACTAAGGCTAGTTCTCTATTTTATATGAGTAATTTAAAGAAAAAAAAACGGATCTCAAAAATGCGTTTATTATCTCTTTCAATCTATCTTGATCCAAAGAACAAACGTAACTGAAATAATATGCAAACAAGCTTATCATTCATTAAAAAAAAACTGGTCACATTATTTGAATGAATGCGTAATAAGATGGAATATCATTGAAAATCCAAGTGCTTTATATCAGAAGAACATCATTGCAAGTAACTGCTTAAAGCACACTGCTAAATTAGCTTATACCTGAATGAATGGCACACTTGCAGGCTCCAACGTCGGCTAAATTGTTGAATGAATGTTCTGTGAGTTCTCTGACGACGGAATTGACTCTTATTTGCGCCGACCTTCGTCTCGTGTCATTTCTCTTCATCGATGGTTCTCTTCCTGTCGACCACACAATCATTAAATCTCATTCAATAGTCTTCTTTTTTCCTTGAGCTGCAGTAACTTTAAGTCCTTCGGCCTGGAGGACTAGATAATTGCTGGCTCAAGTATCAATATGACCTCTTTCAACACTGAAAGGAAATCTGACAGATTTGAGCATTGTATTATCCTACTTCTTTCAGATATTCCTTTTCATAAATGTAATTTTTAATTCACTTACTATAATAACTGAAGGAAGTTTCTGAAACAGACGTGATTTTGTTTGAATTTTTATTAACTTTAATTTTTATTATGGTTTTGCAGAATCAAGTAATTTTTCCATTTAATTATTACATTTTCAGATTTCCAGCTTCACACATCAGTTACTGAAGCTTAAGATTTCGTTTCGCTTCATCTGTGATCTATGTACTATATTTTACGGCTATTTGTGTAAACAATCATGATAATATATATGTAATTAGTGAAAAGGGAGGCCTCGGGATTTTAATTAAGTGAAAAGATAAAAAAGAAAAAAAGAAGAAGTTCACTGTCATAAATGTGCTTCTTCTGTTATAAATGCCATTTTACTCTAAAAACTTCCGCAAAAAGAGCGCGTGATGTAAAACAGTGCAGTGACACTCTTATTACGCTGCATAATTAATACAAATCCGTTATATTCGCAGCACCTGAGCATAAATTTTGGATAAGTTAAAATTCTCGAGAGTGATTGTCATATACTAAGGCCATATTTAAAATAAATTTACATCATTCTGAGTAAGCGATAATGTTAAGAAGAGCGGTGTGAAGAAAGAAAGGTTAAATAGTGAAAATGTTTTATTCCATTATTTGAAGTATGCTTTTGATTTTATACTAAACTTATTTTTGTTTTTCGTAGAATTTACAGATAACGAAATCAGTACCATATGTCCAGATATACGAATCGGGGAAGATGACCTTCCAGGTAATTTAATTTATTTAATACATAATTAATTTTAATACGGAAAAGTAATGTGCTTTTTTAGTTTTTAATAAAACAACATCAATAGTTTTTCAAAATATAAGCTTATAAAAAAGGGATCAATTTTCTTAACTTTTATTTTAAAATGGAAAATTTATGTTTTAAATTTGCCTTCGCGAAATAAAACTAAGTTCTGTTTCAAAGAAATATTTTTTAATATCTAAGTAGTATTTCATCCTCTGAATATCATTGTAATGACATGAGTTTTAAAATCGTAGACAATGTTTTAATATAAATTCCAAGTAAAATTCAATTTCTTAATCTTTGATTTTAAGCGGAAGTACTGCATTTCTTGCACTAGAAGTGCATCATAATTCACTTTCCCAGAAACTAACACACACTTTCCAAATTTCAGATAATTTCTTTCGTATTTTATTTAGGGTTTGATCTCATTAGAAAATTCCGATTGGACGACCCAGAGACTGCATTCCCTGGGGTCAAGGTAGTGCGAGGCTCTAATCGTATGCAAAAGGCCTATCGATTGTCGAAGCGAGCAAATCTAACCCTCCCGACCAGGTAATCATTCATCTACTTTCTTTTGCTGTTCTCGTTTTATGATTCGGTTTCAGACAGTTGTGTAGAGAGAGTGCCCTTCAGGCAAGCAAAATAACCCGCTTACATTAGGCATTAAAAATATTCATTGCTCCAGACCGTTTTAGTTAACTGTTGTGTAACAAACTCATTTAATTTTCGTTAGCTTAAATTTCCTCTAGGTATTTACTTGAGAAATTGTTATAAATCAAACAATTCATTGGAATTTAAAATACTTTTTTTTCTTCGCCTGCGCATGGTTTGAGATTTCGCTTTCTGATTCTTCTAAAATGAAAGAAGAGATAGTGCATCCAAAATATAGTGTTAAAACTGATTGTTCGTTTTCTAAGTTCCTAGTTTGCTTAATTGATGTGAAGTGATTAAATGCCAATTACTGCTAACGATTATTATTTTACTTAATGTATTTCGGAAAGGTCACAATTGCATCTTTCCCATGCTGTTTAAAATAAATTTAATGATAAAGCATACATTTCTTACATGAATACACCTAAAGCAAGAGATTCATTATGAAGTTGCTTCAAAGAAAGTGTTTTTTGACTAGATAATTTGTTACGAAAATATGCTCGGAGATTACCTACTTTAGAGCCACTTCCTCTCTGAGGCTTCGAAAACTTAGTTCCTCCGAATTTGTTAACAGAGCCTCCTTATCCTTGCAACTATGTTCTTCGACTTAGGGATCTACTAAAGGCCGAGTGGTTCAGACCGCTGAATATTGGTAGTTTGACCTGGTTTGGGTTCTATCCCATGCAAACGGACAAGTTACATGATTGGATTTATGAGTTTTTTTCGTGTGTAATGTAAATACAAGCGAGTTTCTTTCAGAAAGTTTTCCAGGAAGGCATCCCTCCTCTTAAGAAGATAGGCGTCGGGATTTTGCCATATTCATATTATAAAGTATTTCTCTCGCCTTCTTCGCATGCCTTCGTGGTGTAGTGGTCAGCACGCTTCACGCGTATTCGAGAGGTTCGTGGCAAGGGCATTGCTCATTTTTCACGTCTCCTGCTTCGAAATAACCTAATGTCTCTACAGTATAACCGATCCTTTGATTAAGATGCTTTCTTACTGAACATGCTCTGAAAATTTTAGGCATTTATTGCACTTACGTTGCATCGAATTATTAATTAAAACTCATCGTATAGTAAGAAAAGAGAATGGTAGTGACTAAACACTTCTCAAAATATTTTAAGCGCAGATTCCTGCCATGACAAAAGCCTCTTTCTATATATATATATATATATATATGTGTGTGTGTGGTAGAATATTATATATATAAAACATATATATGTTGTTGCGTTCCTACGGGTTCGGGGATTTGGAATGATTAACAACAACACTTGATGAAGATTGAGTGAGGGAGTGAGTGAGAATTTATTGGCGCAAAACCAAAGATGATTAAAATGCTCCAAACACAGGATGGGATGATTACAAATGATCTTGATGAAGAATGAAAACATGATTTGTTAGCCAGTACTACTCAAGACAGCTCTAAAAACACGTTTACATTCGTCGAGAAACTACAACAAACACGTTGAAACAATCAGCATCACAACCTTCAGGCTATCAGGTTTTAACGTTGAAGACAGCTTCACGGCAAAGCACTAGAATATAGCTGCCGACTCGGCTCGGTCATTCTCGGAATTAAACGTACTCTCGAGGCTCTCCACGTTACAACTCGCGATGCAGTCGACAAGACACACGATAGCCTCAACGATTCACACTCTCGATGCACTAACTCGCGATACACTGACGATACTCAATGGAGTTATAACTCGACGATGAGCTTCGATATACTCTCGCGATGCACTCGACGACCAACTCGATACTAGACTGCAAAACTGTTGACAGCCCGCGTATTCTGAGCCAACCGGTAAGAATTCGTTCTAGAATGTCTCCATCCGTCTGTGGCATATCGCCAATCTTGTCGCCAAATCTGGCAACCCTGCCTTCCCTTGCCATTTTCTGGCAACCCTAAAACCGCCTTGCGGGGAAGCTGTCTTACCGCGGCATTTCATAACAGTATATATATGAACATATGTGTGTGTTGTATATACACATACATATATGGTAGAATTTTAGGCTGATAGTCTACATCCTGCATTCCTTGAAATCAGAAAGAAGACTGCATATTACCTGGAAAGTATTATTATATGTGAAGAGTCCACTTACATGATTAGGTACGATTCTTGTAAACATACGTGATTGTAACAGTCAAATGACTATTTACATGTGTATTTCAGAAATGTTTTAGCAACCAACGTTTTCAAAATGTTGCCAAAACTTATTACCCACTCAGCTCTTGCGACCTCTCCCCCCGCCAGTATTTCTAAGCTTTCACTGTGGATGGTATCACATAACGTTGGAAAACTGCATTTTAGAAGTTATGTCATCTCTAAAGACTTCTTAATAACTGATGGCGTTTGAGGCGGTGAACAGTTATACTGCTAACCCCTTACTCTCTAAAAACCTTATTTTATTCTAACCAATTACTTTTAGTTTGACTTTCCTTTCCCTCCTGACTTCAGTTGCCTGCCAGAATGTAAATTTTAATGACATAGTATGCAAAATCGAAGTGAAGTAGTATTTAAGCTGCGTTTCAAGAGTTCGTGAGGGCAGTAGCGGAGTTAGTTCCGAGTTTATGCTGCTTGTTTGAAATAGCTCTGTATTTGGTATTAGCCACCCAGTTTATATTGATATTGTAGACTTAGTTTTGCTGTGTGCATCCTGTTTAGTGGTTTAGATAAATAAAGAGCTAGTCATTTAGCCATTTCAATTTATTGTGATTTTACATTTTTATTTTCTGTTCAATTTATTAGCCACAAGTGGTGGTGAATTGTGAGCATCGAGTGAACGCATCTATTACGTTAGTTCAAATAAAAAGGTTATTTAAAACTTCTTCTGTAGTATTTGTTCTTCAAGACATAGCGATAATTCACTGCGTAGTCTTTTCGCGTACGGTCTACTGTGAATGCTCCCGAAAAGAGCACAAAGACTCCACAACGTTACAATGACTTGAAAACATTGAAAAATTACCAGCAATCATTACTCTTATTCACTTATAGCATTAACTCATTTACCTATGCCCGCATGAAAACAAGGTCGCTATGTAAGAATTAAAGAGATTCTTCCTATGTGGCCTTTTGGTGTATAGGGTGAATACATCTAGCTAGCGTCTGGAAAATTCAGATTCAGTTCTCGGTGAGGATGCAGTTGCATTTCCAAGATTAACTTTTTTCATAAATCCTAACTGCTCTACAACTATTAAGTACAGAAAAATTCGCCATTGAAACTGACTGATAAAAGTGAATGAAAATTAATAATCTACAAATATTAACAGATATTTATTATTTGAAATTATATATGTGTTAAATCAATATCCTACATTATTAAATGAAGATGAATATGTATTAGTTGTGATCATTTTGAGATAATAATTTTCTTTTAGGTAATAAATTGTTCTGTACTTCACCTTGCTGTAATTAAACTAGAGTTGGTTAATTATATAGCTCGTAATATTCAGGCCTTAACTACCTATGTAGCAGGTGATCTTCGCGAGGGATGTTTGTAAAGCAAACTGAATTACGTTGACGTTACACATCTGAAGAAACAAGATCATAAACAAATCTCGCAAACGTTAGGAATCGAACTTAAATAACAGCGACATTTTTTCATCATCTTTAGCCTCCCAGCTATTTGTTATTAAGTTCACGCCATCAAACATGCATTTATACTCTTTTCATTGCATTTGGCCAAACTTACTATAGAATGTGTTATTTTAAAAATAATTGAGTTGTTAATCTTCTTACTTAAAAAAGCATATGTTTGTCAGTAACACGTATTTCCATTAAATAAGCTTATATAATGAATTCTAATTTCTAGATAGAACTTGTTTGCATCAGCTAGATAGTTGTTAGAATGCAGTTAATTGGAAAGAATTTGACATTAGAAACGTCTTTATTGAAAGCTTTCCAAAATGCTTGGATTTTGACACTACACTGCGTTGCATTACCATGCGTTCATCATTTATGTAACTTGCTAGATGCTGTCATTGTGCGAAATTTAGGATCCTAAGGATATCTTTTATGTCGCTTTTAAATTATCAGGATGCTGTTTTTCGGGATCACCGAACAGATTTGAATTATCTTTCAAATTTTAATTCTTTTTTAAACAAACTGAGAGATTTAAAAGCATTAAATACAATTGCTAAAAATTTAATTCTTTATTTTATTTAAAGTACTGTATCTAATTCATACAATTTAAAAGTATTTTGTTTATAATATATTTTATTGATAATTATGAACTTTTTCACTATTATCGTTATATGTAAAAGGTGCTTCATATCAAGTACCTCGGTAGGGGATCATTCTTTCCCCTAAGATATCTTATCTTATTACGATCTTATTACGTGTACAAACAGTCCGATAAAGTACATTTACACACAACTTTATTCCGTAGCAAATTTTACATATACCGGGTGATCAAAAAGTCAGTATAAATTTGAAAACTTAATAAATCACGGAATAATGTAGATAGAGAGGTAAAAATTGACACACATACTTAAATGACATGGGGTTTGGATTTAGAACCAAAACATCTACTGTTATCAGGCCTTTTTTTTTTCTTCCGAGGAAATGCGTGATTCTGGTTTTGTAACTGCTACCGTGACGGGTGAGAGGTACGCCGATATGTTTGTTACAGAATCGCATCGTCCCCAGCCTGGCTGATAAACACCTGCTGCACGATTTTTATGCAGGATAGCGCTCCACCCCTTATTGCTAGACGCGTGAAAGATCTCTTGCGCGCGTCGTTTGGTGATGATCGTGTGCTCAGCAGCCACTTTCGTCATGCTTGGCCTCCTAGGTCCCCAGACCTCATTCCGTGCGATTATTGGCTTTGGGGTTACCTGAAGTCGCAAGTGTATCGTGATCGATCGACATCTCTAGGGATGCTGAAAGACAACATCCGACGCCAATGCCTCACCATAACTCCGGACATGCTTTACAGTGCTGTTCACAACATTATTCCTCGACTACAGCTATTGTTGAGGAATGATGGTGAACATATTGAGCATTTCCTGTAAAGAACATCATCTTTGCTTGTCTTAATTTGTATGCTACTTATTGCTTTTCTGATCAATTATTGCTTTTCTAATAAAACCCCATGTTATTCTAAGTATGTGTGTCAATTTTTACCTCTCTATCTACATTATTCCGTGATTTATTAAGTTTTCAAATTTATACTGACTTTTTGATCACCCTGTATTTGCAGGCGTTATGCAGCTGCTTCAAAATGAATTAAAAACGTGCATACATTTTTTTGTTTCTATTTAGTTAGCATCATAGCAAACGGCGCTTTCCGGCTGACTTTAAAGTTTAAAGCTTATAACTATTGAAAACATGCTGAAAGAATCAGCACAAATACAAAATGTCAAGAATGTTTAAGGAAAAAATTATATTCGCGTATACGATTTATATAAAAAATTATATTACATTAACTATTGAACGCGCTATAGAGATAAAACCATGCTTGTCTATTTACATTGCGTGTAATCCTAAAGGCATACAAGTAAATTAGGCGCATTCTGTTAAGTTTTGCCTTTATTTCGGTTAGTAAAATCAGTATACTTACTCAGTAAAAGGCAGGGCACAGAGTTAAAAATCCTTCTCGATTCGTTAAGCGGCTTGTCTATCGGTAACTTTGTTCTGAGGCGTGAAGTTTGTAGAGGTCAGAGGTCGTTGATCTGAGGTGAGTTTGAGAGACAGTCTGCCGCCCACGTTGCATCTTGTCGGAAGCGAGCAGACAGCGCAAAAGGGAAAAAGTGAAACTTTCTCATGTGTCAAGCTAATTGATTCGAAATCCCGACCCATGCATTGATGACTGCGAACTCGAATTAGCACTTCAAAATGAAACAAATAAGGATTCCTTCTTTTCAACATGTCTTTCTCTTTTTATTTACTTCGTTCTTATTCATTTTCTACACGTTGAGCAGAAGGGATGAGATCACGGAGTGAGAATGCACCGCACGCTAACCTCCGTCTGTTTAAACTGGCAGTTTGAAAGCCGAGTCATCGTTTTGAAAACTACGCCTTATAAAAAGAGAAAAAAAAAGATAGTTAACACATCTTTATTCCTCTAAATATGTAGTAACTTACCTCATCCATTAAAATGCGCTCAAAAGTAAGCCATTTTGTATCTTGGTGCAAAATCTGCAATTTTAATAGTTTTATGAGCTGGAAACTGGCACTTTTACAGCCTATAATGTAACATTTGACCTAGTGTAGATACGCATAACGAGTTCTGTCTTTAGTTTTTCAATTAAATGTTTAATTTTAAATTTTAGTTTTACTTATTTAAATTTCAATTAAACATTTTGGCTATTTTTTTAAAACCGTTTTACTTTTCTCTTGGTAAACATTAATTAAACTCTATGCTCTTTCAAGATGCCAATAATTTAACAGCTTACTAAATCAAAAGCTAGAAATATTTTATTAATATATTCTATCTATATCTTATGTGACTAAGCCGATTCGTTCGATTAGCTGCTAACTAATCCGATGCGTCTGTTTAGACATTTCCTGAAATCAAAGAAGCAACTAGTAGTTACTTTCAAAGTTTATTATAAGAAAAAAAATTACAGCTCTTTAAATATTGTTATTAGCTTTAATAACATGAGGGGAAAATCACACACGTGTAACAGTAAATTGAAACAATATTATTATCCTTCATTAAACCTTCATATGCAAAATAAGATTTAGGTTACAGCATGGCTATGTACTCTATTTGGCGCAAAAGATACATTGCAAATAGGAAACTGCAAATATCTCGTCCAAAAGAATCAGTAGACTTTCGAAGGAACATTTTGGAAGAAACATTTTCGAACAATATTTTCGAAGGGGAATGCTGCAGCAGAATGCATATTAGCAAATATTCTGCGTAAGTTATCTCGATACTTAAAGGATGCCAAAGTCAGCAGCTGAAAACATCCCAAGAAAATAGAAGAAGAATGAAATTGATTCTTCTAAAATATGGCCAAGAAAACTCCCCCAGTATCCCAAACGATATAACAGTTATTTGCTTAGAACTGTATCTGAGACTGATTAAAACTTAGACAAGATCTGGGTATTGCCGTTAGGAATATTTGTCCGGGACTTCCAAGACCGCTATTATTGCGTGTGATATAATAGTCATGCAGCTGTTCCCCACCTTCTGATTGCACTGTTAAATCCCAGATGTCAACTGTCATTTTGGAATAAGCGGAAATTCTGAATCCTGAACCACAGAATATCAAGCAATCGCCAGAAGTTTCAAATTTCACATTGCAGGATTCAACCACTGTATGCGTATGCCGCAAATGTCAGGGAACGTTTCCTTCTAAGCTGTATCTAGGCGAGGACGTTTGTTGACACAAGGGGCTGCTTTTCACTATCTGTCACTGTTTAGTTTAAAACTGTTAAATATATTTGATTAAAACCTTTATACTGCATTGCAACTGGAAATTCTGAAATTATTCTGATAGGTTTAAGCACAAAATATTTGAAACATAATGGAACATGGAACATAGCTTGTGCTTTATTATGTTTTGAGATGTACGCATATCAAAGGCAGGATTATATATGCGCCTGTGTTTTGTGAGGGACATTGCATTTATTTAATAAGTAGCGACTCTTTTATTGTATCAGTGCATGTTCATTTCTTTCTTCTTTTTTTTTTTCAAGCTAAAATTTCCTAAAACCATGTTATGTAAAAGTCATTATCTCACGTTTCGAAGCATCTGAATTATCCATTCAACATGATAATAAATAGAATTCGGATTTAAAAGTCATATCTAGCTAAACCCTTTCATTTTGAATAAATGTTTATCTAGTAGGCGAGACAGAAGTTTGTAATAATTTATAGGGCGGGTGTGATAGTGAAAATTGGTTCTTGCTCTTTCTCATAGTATGATTAGTCACTCAGCAGTAAATTACAATGTTCACTGTACATTTATGATGCAAATGAAACATGGCAGTTATATCTATAATTGCTATCTGGTGTGTTGAAAGTCTTATGAGGATGAATTATGGACGAGAAATCCTGATTGAAATATTATACATTTTTTTGCAGAGCGATCTTCCCTTTGGGCATTCCAGAAGAATTTTCTTTCGTTTCAACGTTCAGAAAACGTAACGGCCGCAAGGACCCATGGAGCTTAATTCGGATCACAGATTTAGCTCGGCGGACTCAGTTCGCCGTACTTTTTAATCCTCGCAAACAAGAACTCGAAATGGCCACACTTGATTTGGATGGAAGGCTGCAAGTAGCAAGGTTTATTGACATCAATGTAAGTTTTTACTGCTGTCGAGTGAAACAGTAACGTATAACAATGTATTTTAATCTAAGATCCTTCTGCGTGCACTTTATGAAATTCTTTTCGCTTCGTTAATTAATTTGAAGTTTAGAAATTATCTGACATTTCGTTACGTTTTTCTATTCCTAATTTATTACAAAATATATCTCAGTGTATAAAAGTTATCAGTTACCTTTATAAATTGAAAAATTTTCCCGTTGTATTAGAATTAAATTCGAGTAAAGAATAAGAATGGATGAGCTAATATAGAGGAGATTATATTATCTGAAGTTTCAGGTATTATCCTCCGATCGAATTGCTTGCAAGCGTTCGTTTCTTTCAAATACATATGGGCAGAATCTAAATTTTTTGATTACAGAAATCTACTGCTTTGTCATGAAACCGTCACAAAATTGTTGTTTGCGGCTGTTCTTCATTGGTAAATTTCTGTCCACACAGTTTTCCGTATCTGATGTTGAAGACATACCTTGCCGATCAGTGCTAGTCAAGTCTGTGCGGTCATATGCGAAAGGCTGGTACAACTTGACTATTGGATTGACATGATATAGCTTTTGCCGTTTACATATCTGTAATTTCACGATAAATTCTTGAACAGTTAAAAGATTTTGCTGATAAAAACATTACCGTTCCTCATACTTCAACCTTAAATTACGTTTTCCAACCAATGGGCCATTTTACTGGTGCACCTGTTACCACTGTTTCAAAAAAAAATGTTTCATGAGAAGGCATGTTTATGCCTGCACATATCAACTGAATACAGATAAGTTTTGAATTTATATTCTATTTAATATAAATATAAAAGTAATCATCCAGCAACGAATCGCGTTGATAGTAAATGAAATTACATATCCAACAATGACCTGCATATAAAATCATGCAAATGATGCCGCAGCAGGCAGTACGAAAACAATAAACAAACCTAGAGGGATCTGAAGTTAAATCCTTCTTGAATTTAAAAAAAAAATTCTATAATTTAAGATATGCCTGCTTACAAACCAGTTTCAAAAATATAAGCGAAAGGGAAGCTATTTTTTTCGTGAGGAGAAAAAAAACTTTCAATTTGATTGAAAGCTCTCCTTATTCGCTTTATATTTTTTACTTTTTAATGTCTAATGAGAGAGACACAAACATAACCAGTTTAATTTTTCCCCTTGATTTCTCTACGGCTCTACAGGAAACATTTACAGTTTAAAATGAGGATTGACTTGGCCTATGACAGTCAGTTTAAACAGCATTTGTCACTGTATGTAAATGAGGAATTCTCTTCAAATGGTAGTTTCTGGATAGCAACAAATTCTTTCATATGCTATTTAAATTTCCAGCTAAGAGTCTTTGAAGCTGTTCAATGATGATTTAGAATGAAAAAAGAGTTATCAGCTATACCAATATAATTATATTGTATGCAGTTTAATTTCTCAAAAAAATGTTTTAAATGGTTTTCAGAATGTTGTCAGTATCTCCACAAAATTATATAAATATGTCAAGAAAATCAATTTCGGAATATTAAACATTGTTTCACTATAAAAGGATTAGCCCCCCCCCAACAAAAAAAACAAAAAAAAAAAAAAAAAAGGATTAGCCTTTTTGATACTTTTAGTAGTATTTCATTCCTTCCGCTTAACTCAGAGGATGGAACAAAACGCATCGACTTCGAACTCAAGAAAAGAGAAGAAATTCTACTTTACATTGTTTGCAGTTTAAGTTTCCTAAGATAGAACTGAGTTTATTGTTCTCCTGAAATTAAGGAAGTTTTACGTTTGCTTTCGCCTGCGTTTCAAATAAGAAACCTCGCTGACCAATACCTTTGTTGAAGATGTTTTCAGGACTAGCTGAAATCATTTCTTTATTTGTTTGTTTGTTTATTTTTGGAGATAGTCAGTAAAATTTAGTATTAAAGAATCATAATATCGGATTTTTACCTGTATCCATGTTAAGAAGCATTTTATTCTTTAGATGGACGATAAAGAATGGCACAAGATAGATCTAAGTGTTCTTCGGGACAGGGTGACATTATATGTTGATTGTGAACCAGCAGCTGTTCAACCATTGGGCCCTCGGAGACCAATTGACGTAAATGGAGATATAATGGTTGCGAAATTCGAAGACTCCACACCTGTTCAAGTGAGTAGTTTTCTGCATTTATTTTTGCTGCATTTTTACTAATTATTTGTCACTGAACGAGAGGGAAAACAATATTTTGATTAATCAGTCCAGGATTTTAATTTTAATAAGCTACCAGCAAATTTCCTTGAATTTGAAATACTTATTCCTCCTTAAATTTAATTACCCTAGACTTATATTTTTTGCCTACTTTCTTTGAAATTGCTGAACCTCAAAAGGTAAAAATTTCACTGAAGATGACTATTCCTTTTTGATTAACGTCCATGTATTTTTGCTAAGCAAAATGCTGGTCAAATTGTTTTAAATTTCTCATAAATATATTTATATGTAAATATTTTTATGAGTGTAAAGAAATATTAATCTTATAAATAGTTTTCCTGGTTCCTTATTTACTTTGTAACACAAGAACGAAATTATTAGAAATATCTTTCAGTTGTGTTCTGTGAGTATCCTAAGTAATTATAATTTTTAGGATGCTTCCTGTATCAAGTAATAGATTTTCTTGTTTTGTAATTTTTTAACAATTAAAATACTGTTCCTCTTACACTTATTGATCTCAGTATGTTAATTCGGAGGTAAATGACAGTGTAATGAAATGTACAATTACAAAACATAGTGATAGTTCATTTTATTATTGGTAGCAAAAATACATTTAAGATATAGTCAATATTTTTCCCGTAGGTAGAGTTGCAATGGATGATCATGACTTGCGATCCAACTAGGTCGGAAAGAGAAACGTGCAATGAGCTGCCGGTAAGTATTGCATATATATATAAAAGCTCTGTAACTAGAAAAATAAAACTTATTTATCTTTATTAAAATAGAAGTATTCGAGAGGTCAGAGGTTCGAGTCTCGGCGAGGGCATTGCTCATTTTTCATCTCTCCTGCTTCAAAAACACCTACTGTCTGTACGCTGTAAAACTAAAGATTGTTTCAGACGCTGCCTTTCACTGAAAAAATAGCAATTTTAAGCTAAAAAATGACAATATGCTTTAGATGATGGATATTGGATGAATCTATAAATAGATTTGGATTATATGGATTATGGCAAAGCATACTAGGGCTATTTGCCTAAAAGGAGGTATGCCTTCTTAGAGGATTTTCTGAGGGAAATGAACTGTAATCACGTTATATATGGAAAAACAAACTCGTAAACGATCGTTGCCCAAATACTAGGGATCAAAATATTAGGGTTAGCAGTTTTACCGCTCGGCTTCTGGTGGCCTCAGTAAGTTGAATTAGCGACTGCCATTACTCCGGAGAAAAATGTTCATGCCTTTCTGCCTCTTCATCCTCAAAACAACATCACTCAGTTCCACGTTCATTATGTTTGCAAACTATTTCCATAAATTGGTCAAAATTTCTGCAGTTCTTCTTTATCTAAGACATATTAATGATTGGTAGACGATTTTCAGTTTCAGGGATTCTGAAGAAACATTTCCTTCTTTCTTGAAGCAATTGTTAATGCAAGTTTGAAGCAAATGGATCTATGATGAAGGAAGTAGATTAACAGAATTAAGTATAGAATCTTTTAAAAAAAAGGATTCTTAAGTAAAATTACTAGTCGCCTTTCTTTTTCTACTTCTTTATCAAACTTCTAAAGGAATTTTAAGAATTAATAAAATAAATAGATAAAATGAAGTTGGCAGGAGATGAATTTTAACTTTTCCCCTATCCGAATCTGAATTCTAATATATTCTCGAATCTTTTTAAATTTCAAATCCCTCATATAAGAACAACAATAAGGGAAATAATAACGAAAGATTAATGTTTTTTAATTAATTAAGTCTGTAATAAGAAACAGGTTTTAAAATAGAGGTCTTAAAAACATACCTTTATTTAGTAAAAAGAAATCAAATTGAATTTGTAATGTATGTTAATTAACCAGGTATTATGTTTTGATCTTTGATATAATTGCTTCCTTCTGTATTCCTCAGCAAAATGCAAATTAGCTTTGACTGCGTCTAAGCTGATGGTTTTGAATCTTTAAGAGATCGAGCTTTTGGCACTCGTATTTGCTGTTAGTTTTTTGCCAGCTCTATTTCAAAGTGATATTCCGGCTTTGGCATTCTTGCTAGCCGATATTTTAAACTTACGAGTCGATAAAATAGTAACTGATCCAGTTTATTCCTTATTCTATTGAATGAGTAGTCTTACACTACGTTGCCGCGTTGGAATTAAATTGTCTGATATTGCTTAAATTGAATAGCCACAAGTGGTGGTTCATTTGTAGCGCAAGTTGTGCTTTTATGTTCAATTTTCGACTGAAATTAAAGGGTTATTTTAAAACTTTTTCTATATTTGTGAGTTGCTGATACGTAACAATAACTCGCTGTTAGTCTAGTAGAGTCAGCAGGACTTTAAACTTTAGTTTCTAGATGCAGAAGCAAATCTACAAGTTACATAACTACAATTGCTGAATCTTGAGATTTATTTTTCAGTTCAATTTTCCAAAAAGTTTCTAAATAATAGTTCAGTTTTTTTTTCTTACAGTTTATCCAAATTCTTTTTAAATCAAGCGAAGACAGATGATTACTTTAAAAGTTAGCACAGATAAACACCAAATAATGAAGGCTAAATGTTTGCCCAGAATGCTAAAAGTATATAGAAATAGCATTTTCTCAGCATTTATTTAGCAAACTCAGAGCCGCCACAAGCTGATACTGGTGATCTTTTAAAACTGCAGGAAGAGTGTTCATTATTTCATGAATGCTTCTAACAGATGCCTGTTAAATCAAAGATACAATATTGTTTGTGTACTGACCTTGAAACAAATTATCCTTTCCGACGTTTTAAGCATTTTTAAAGTTAATATTCGAAAAATCCGAAACACGCAAAATGTGCGAAGATTCAAATTTTAGAATCTCTAATCTTTTCCAAGAGCTTTGGATTTCGAGATATCGAATGCCTCATCCTTAAAATAAAATTAAATAAGCAATGCTTAAAATTTTACGGGATTTCTCTCCGTTCTCAGTTTCACACAGCAATTTTATTACATCTTTATGATAGAAACGCATCTTCATTTCAAAGATGGCTCAAGAGTGTAGCTTTATAGAGTCATTGCCAGAGCAGATGTGAGTTTAATTTTATTTTCTTCTCAAAATAACATGTTTTCATTCTTAAAAAACTAGAGTTCTCTCAAGCATTACTAATTTTGAATTTCATCGTAGCTGGTGATCATTGTTGCTTGTAAATATGCTAGGTATTTTCTACCTTTTTTACCTGATGCCTTGGTGGTATAATTAGAAGCATACTCTGCGCTTATTCAAGAGGTCCAGGGTTCGAATTCTGGCGAGGGCAGTGCACATTTTTCACATCTCTTACTTCAAAAAAACCTAATGACTCTACAAGTGGTGTCCAAACTAAAAGATGGCGGACGATAATTTATCACCCCCAGAATTTAGCGATTGGGTCCCCTAATCCCAAATGGGGAGTATATAAGGTATTTTCTCCCCCCCCCGTCTTCATGCCTTCGTTGTGTAATTTGAAGCATATTTTATGTATATTCGAGAGGTCCAGGTTTCGAGTACTGGCGAGGCCGCTGCACTTTTTTCATTGATTCCATTAACCTTTTCCGGCACGCTACCTTTCAAAGTCGGAGTTTTGAAAAAAAAAAAAAAAGGTAGGCAGTCTAATTAGGCTTCGGAGTACACAAGTAAAATTTTGTGAAGATAGCACTTATGTTATTTCTAGGGTGGCCCGAAGGGCACACTGATGAAATAGAGCATCGAAATGGCTGAAGCGCATTTTTGTCAATGAACTGACAGATGAGATGCGAACAAAGAATAGAGACTCTCAGTTTGTCCTAGATTGTCGGTGAGCCCGGTCTGGGCACACTAGGATTCGCCGTTGATTTTAGGCAAGATTTTCAAGGTAAAAATTTAAACGATATAGAATAAGGAGATTAGCATACAGCCAAAAAATAACAGAGAAATTTATTTTCAAATAATTCCTTTTATACCCTAAAAAAATCTGGAAGATTTCTTTGAAAAATGAGGGTCTTAAAAAACTAAACATGGCTAAAATATATGGACTGGTTTGTGTACAGCTGCTATCTACTATAAATAAAGAAGATTCAGAGTAACCTATAATAACCTATAAATCCTTTTTCATTCAATTTTTCTGTGCGTACAGAATAAACTTTCTTAATTTATTTTATTCCGCTTGTTTCACAATTGTAAATGATAGTAAAGCTGCGCACTTTCGTTGATAACTGGAAATGATAAAACTTCGTAAATAACTGGGAAGAAGATTTAAAAGAAGAATTTTTCAAGTTCCTAATAAACAAGATTTAAAAGTCAAAACCTGCTGCGGTAACGGCATATCTGAAAACGTATTTAGTAGAAACATAGGATTTCTCTCGAAATATTGTATAATATTTCCATAACAACAGTTCACGAAATAGGAGGTCTGTCTCCTTGTCCAGTTTTGGGCCTGTGCACAACCGGGACAAGGGTAAGGCAGGTGAGACATTTGCCTCAAGTAAACGGCTAAGAAGGATGAAACTTAGGTATGAAATTTTAGAAATATTAAAAAATAAACGATGCTAGTTAATTTTCAATTCTCAAACTTATCCTAAAGCACCGTTTTTAAATAGCAGCCTTCAAATCAATAAAAAAGCACTATATTATTTTGCACTTGCACAACCTATTTAATCAATTAATCAAATCAAATCAAAGATTTAACTAACTATTAATAATTTTATATTTAAAATGGAACAAAAATCATTATCACATATTTTATATAATTTTCAACTCATTATTATTACTTTTATCTTTATACAAAGTTCAAACTTATATAAGGCATCGGATGATAAATCATAATAGGTTGAACCTAACAGTCGCTTTAAGCAGATTAACTTAAAGTTTTATGTGCGTATTTGTTAAGTTTAACGCTACGATAAAAATAATTTCACATAAAGCCCTGCAATAAAAAAAAATTAAGTATGCCTAAATCTACGAGCTTAATAAAGTCAAGCATCGAATGGCAGTGAATGTGTGGTCTGCCTTGGTGGTTCCGTCGTTTTCCCCGCAAGAAACGTGAATACTACCCTTTTTTGCTTAGAAAAATCCTCCACGAAGGCATCCCTTTCCTTTGTCAAATAGTTCTTGTTCGTTTTCGATTTTGTATGAAACAAACAAACGTAATAGAAAATTGTCTCCTGCCGTTTTGGAAAATACGAGAACATATTCTTGAGAAACGTGAAAATTTTGCTTAAAAGTTTAATATAGCAACAAAGTATGAAGAGAGTTCCAAGCAATTTTCTCCTTCCACACTGCGCGCCCTCGTAATGTAACCGAAAGTACGTAACGCTAGCAATCAGAAGGACCGGATCTCGGCGATAGCATCTTTGTTTCTTCATGTTTCTCGGCTTCAAAAAATTCTGATCGCTGTACAAAGTTAAAAAGAAAGGTTGTAGAGACATTAGGATTTTTTTGGAAGCCATAGATATGAAAAATTAGCAACCACCTTCGCCGGGAATCGAACCACGGACCTCTGGAATAACAGCCCAGCGTGCAGAACCACTACAACCACGAAGGACGCTAGGAAAGTGGGAGAAATACCTTATATACTCCCCTTTTTAAAGGGCCCTTTTTAAAGGGCGACTAGGGTTTTAGTGGACCTAGTCACCAAATCCTGGGTGTGGAGAATCATCATCCACAACCCTTTTAGTTCAGGCGCCACTGTAGAGACATTAGGATATTTTTGGAAGCCAGAGAGATGAAAAATTAGCAACCGCCTTCGCCGGGAATCGAACCACGACCTCTGGAGTACCGGCCCAGCCTGCAGAACCACTACACCACTAAGGACGCTAGGAAAGTGGGAGAAATACCTTATAAGGTTACGAAATCATAGCGTAAAAAAACTGTAAAAGAACTGTTTTTTCAGTGAATAAATGATAAATTATACCTTCCCGAGTAAAATGAAGGTATAAAAAAATTTACGAGATGGTTTCTGATTTCCAAATGTTAACAGATGAAAATTTAACAGTCTTTGAATTTAGGTAAGTTAGGCTAAGTCTGGCGAAGCTCACGAGGGCTCCCTACCTAAGGGAGAAGATGCTTATGTGTTTTGAAATGGACCGGCTTTTAATTTAGCATTTAAATAGCCAAATGATTTATAAGTGTATGAACCAAATATTCATTAGTGATGAATTAAAAGTGTAATTTAAATGAAGGGCAAAAGTGGGGCTTTAGTAATAGTCTCGAGAGCGTGGACAAATACAAATAGAAGTCTCCCGAGATTTAAATATCCTTCAAAGTGTTCTTTCGAGTGCCAGGAGCATCTTGATAAGCCGTAAATCAGTTAGTTGAGAGCCTGGTAAAGGATATCTAAGAACAACAACTGCATAAGAAAATTTTTTTCATTACTGCTCACTCTAAGAAATTGTAAAGCGACTATAAGAATGTTCACTTTAATTCTTCAGGCTGCCTCAGAAACTCTAATCAATTTCAAGCTTCAAAAACGTGAGACTCACTCGAGAAAACTAATCGTTTGTGTCCTATTCCTTTCAATTTCCAAAGATGCTCGTTTAAAGCGATGCTGCTGTAATAGATTCGATAGAGCCAAGAGCAATGGGTCCATGAACAATCTTGTGACGACTCCATATATAGCCTGAACTATGTTGTGACGTACACGTGCTTTTAACTAGACATGTTTTGATCTATAGGGAGAGAGGAACACGCAACGTGCCTTTCCTTCCCCCCCACCCAAGTCCTGTTTCCACGAAAGCAGTTTTACAGTTTGGGATGAAATCATCAAATATGACCTCACTGAAATGCATAAGTTTTATGGAGGTTTTCTGTCCAGTTGCAGGTATGCGGAGGACGCCTTGATACCCGTTAAGATTCCTGTTGGTCCAGATTTTTGCTAACAGACAACAGTGCTCGTCAGCATGGAACACGTCTGGTGTCAGAATACGTGAAAACAGAAAATGTAACTTGAATGAATTGGCCAACTTACTCATCGGACTTGAATCCGATTGAGCATGAGTGGAATGCCTTAAAATTAATCAGCTGACAAACATGATGATTTATGGTTAATGATGCTTTTGTGCAGACTAATTTCAATAATTTTTCAATAAGTAACAATAATAACTTAAATTAGTTACTTTAATTTTCATTGTAAAAGTTAGCATGCAAGTAAAAATATTTTAAATGATACCTATGTATTTATGCTTGCATAAGCAAGCAACAGAATGCACACCAACAAACTATATTTCATAGTAAGTGAGGAAAATCTTCTGTGTTTCAGGTAAAGAAACGGAACACTACTGTTTGTCCTATATGTCCTGCCGGTCCTCCTGGAATCGATGGAAAACAGGTAACTGTGCTTTAAAATGAATTAATTAAAGTAATTGTGCTGATTTTCAAACGATTTTAATTAAATTAATATTCTATCTTTACTTAACTAAAGGATACTCGTCATACTTAAAACTAGTTTCTCACTTCTACTAGGGTCCACCAGGTCGTCCAGGACCTCCAGGTGAACGGGGACCTCAAGGTTGGCCAGGAATACCGGGTGCTCGCGGTGAACCTGGGCCCGCAGGTTTGGCAGTAAGTAGACGTGCTGATGTACTTAGCAGTGTGTTGCGAGTGCCTAAATTTAAGTAATACTTCTTTTTTGATGCTTTGTTCACTTAAAATGTATGTTAGTTTAATACGGACAGGCATAAAGTTATATTACTAGTTAGCTGAAAACAAACCCATTGTTCCCAATATCGTTCAAGAATCAGTATCCGTAATTTCTTTTTTTTCCCTGCTTAACATGCTGTCATATTTAATTTAGTCATACTTATTCTTTCTTCATTTTTTTGTAGGGTAGACCAGGAGCTGTTGGTTCTCCTGGACCTCTGGGTCCATCTGGACCTGAAGTAAGTCACTAAATTTATGATCTCACGATATTGCAGGTTAATATTTCCGAATAAGAGCTCAGAAATATTTAATTCTAATGCATCTGTGTTTTCAAGTGTTCATTTATGCAAAGTTTTCATTATTTTATTAACTTATATACAATAATTCTATGGTTTCAAACTATGTTTTATAACTGAAGCAATTTTAATTTCAGGGTACACCCGGAGAGAAAGGAGATACTGGACCTCCAGGACTAACAGGAAAACCTGTGAGTTTTCAGTAAGCACCATTTTTCAAATAAGCTCATGAGGTGCTTTACGTATTGCTTTCTAACTGGATTAAAATATGTACAAAGTTTTACATATGTAAAGATAATGTTCATATTTCTATACATTTGTAATGTTTCATAGGTACTTTTCTGTATCAATTTTTAACATGTCTATGACTAACTGCATCACTTGCTAGGCTGCTTCAGTGTTCAAAATTTATGAGTACATTAATGCTTACCTTAAATTTACTATCTGCGTAAAGGAACAACGCAACTTCATCTTGCCTTAGTAAGAAAACTATGACAGTTAACAACCGACGTTTTGTTTGAAAACAAAACAATTGTAAAGTTTGGAGAGTATGATAATAAAAAACTCTGTTTCCTATACGACATTATCATGCAACAAAACTTGTAATAAAGATGTGACCTCAGTAGGAGGAAGCTTGCAAATTCAGCTTCCTGGAATTATAATCTCTGATGCAAGTTCTACAGAAGGTATTTAGGTTATCATTTTTCGGAAAGACGGTGTTGGCTATCCAATTAGTCTTCCAATGTTCGCAAAGGCTTAAACTAACATTTCTTGAAGCATCTGATTAGATACATTGGTCCGATAGAATGGACTATCAAAGATTCTGCTTAAAAAAGAAAAAGGTGACATCTCCTTATTCAGCTAAGTGAGCCTATTACTTAATCACACATTCTCCGAATCGCTAAACTTGCATCAATCGTATCATATTTCAACGGAGCAGAAAACAATTCCCGATTATCATGTATTTTAAAAACAAAAGTTTGTTTATTCTGATTTACGTTATTATTTTGTATAGCTTTCTTGTTAATACAACATGAATTTTTATTCTTCTTTCATGGGCGTGTTGTATAATACGTTTAAGCAAAGTCATCTGCTGTGTTTATAGAGTATATTAAAGCATGAAGTATATTTTATGGTATAAGTGAAAGGCTGTAATGGAGATAATCTTCGGCCTTTAAATTATGTTAACTTATTAGTCCCTCACAGTATTTTTCTGATTTTCAAGAATTAATTTATTACAGAGCATAGCAATATGTCAAGTTTGAGTTTCTCTAAACCTGTTCTTTTAAGAAAAAGTAGTAATGCAGTAGTTAAATTGCAACTGCAATTGTTTTCTGAAATGTTAAAAATATGTTAAATGCTAAACATTAACAGTCAGTCCATAAACATAAACTTTTGCACTTCGTGGTTGAGTATAGTTTCGCTTAAGTATTAATTTAAATAACAATTTCTCTTAGGATGAAACAAAATTTTCAGCAGTTTCTGTCAAGAAGAAACATAACTCTTAGGACGAAACAATAATTTAAAACAGAGTTATCTTTATTTACGGTATTTTGTAGACTAAAGCCATCACTTATTAAAAACAAAAATCATCTACTATACTGATAAAATCAATTTTAAAGGGACTGCATTCAATTGATGATTGGTTGAAACCTATTATGAGACTTCTTCAGATTTTTCCCTTCTGTTCTTCAACTCTGAGTGCTATCATGTGCGGAATCGTGCCGACAGATTTTAAAACCAGAATCAAATTTCAAAATTCCGATTATCCAAATACTCCTAAGTGTATTTTTATCCCTGATGGTACATCATTCTAACAAGAAGCCCCATTGGCCGTTTTTCATCGTTAGAATAGCCAGGGCGTTTTTCAGCACAACAATTCCTGTGTGTAGTTTCCACTAATATTTAATTTATGATATTTTAACTTGGTAGCCTCTCCAGTTTTTTTTTTTTTTTTTTTTTTTTTTTTTTTTTTGTTCTGGGCAAGTGCCTCAGTCTCCTAATCCTCGGCATGTGTCTGAACAAAGACATTAAAATCTCTGTTACTATTAGCAACTAGTTTTATTTGAAAGAACTCTCCTTATGATTTTCTCAAATGATGGTTAACTGGATGATTGTTTTGCGGAAAGCTATTAGCATAAATACTATGCCAATATCATTATAACTGCTTAAAATGGAAACTACCGAGATCTTTCAAAACTTTCTATATAAAGATAAATGATTCCGCGTCGAATGTAAGATTAATTATAGTTAAATAAACTAATGAATTAATAGCTAACACATAAAAAAATTTAAAATTTGAAGTAAAAACTTACAATTTTTAATAATGGCAATGGCAACAAAATTTGTTTCAGTTCTTAGTTAAACTTTCAAATTTACGTTCAGCATTATAAAATAGCTCTAGCAAACTACTTATTTTACTGTACTAATCAATGAATTAAGACTAGCGAAGGATTAGCTATAGGATTAGACCTAGCGAATTATCATAAAACAGCGTTCTCGTGAAATCATTGTTATAGGCGATATCTCTTACAGCTTTACGTTTTGATTCATCCAACATTAATTCTTTCATTGCGTTTAGTTCGTTTGCACCGAAAATGGATGAAAATACTTTCATTGAAATTTCCGATAATCTTCGCAGCACTGAAGAAAAAATAAGTATAGTTTTTATTTTCATTTCTTTTTGAAGATCTTATGTAAGAAACGTAACTATGTTTCAGCGGAACACTTATTCAATGATTTTTATCAATGTTCCTAATTTGATCTTAGGGAGTGAAAGGAGACAAAGGCGACAGAGGAGAACCTGGAAGACCGGTAAGGTTTCTTACTCATTAGTCTCGCTTCGAGTAAAAGTATTAATAGCCCTTTATGCAACTAGCAGATCTTTTTTTTTATCATGTCTTAAAGAAAACACAAATATCAAATTGCATGTTTACATCTGTTGCAGTTTTTTCCTTTGTTGTTATATATATTATGAAAAAGTGTTGTTTTAAATAAAACAAAATAAGGATAATTATGTCGTCTGCTTGGTCAAGGTTAAGTGTCCTAAAATAGTATGTTAGCATTACGACGTCTAAAAAAAGGTAGAAATTAATTCTCACTGATGTCAAAACTAATTGATGTCTCTCTCCACTTTATCGTTCACGATTCGTTTAGGGGAAGCATCAAATGGTACACAGTTTAAATACGCTGGTGAGCATTGAAATGAAAACAATTGAGTGAAAAAAAAAGTTCGCAGAAATTTGAAATTCACAGGATCAATAAACATGTTAGTCATGGAAAAATCATCCAAAATCAAAAAAAAATATATATCATCTCGATTTATTTCTTCTAGGATATAACATCCAACCGCTAAAATACGCGCCCTTACATTCCTTGATATGCGCACTGATTAATTGACATGCCCATTAATAATTTTCTGTAAAGTTCTTTACCCCGCTGCAAGCTCTTGAGTACATAAAGCATTACGAGGGGATTTTCCCTTTGCAAAAGCCTTCAAATGTGTCCAATGGAAAAAAAGGCCCGTAAATGTAGCAGGCCAAGGTAACAATCAGGTTCACTTATTCAAGTTTTCTCGTGTCAGGAAATTGATCCTAGGATATCTTGTAGAAATTGTTATACTATAAGCTTCGACCAGATCAACGCAACGTTAAATAGTCGATTACTGAGAGGAAGATTTGAGAGATTCCTTCTACCATACATTACGCCGCAGCCGCATGACACCCTTATTCCTAAAGCAGAGTTGATATGACATCCGTTCTGAACTTGTTGATGGCGTTTCCAGACTAAGCTCTTTCTGAGAAGGTCGCTTTTTCTGAATAAAATAGAGACTGTTCACCGAAGAGGATAGTCTTCTACTGCTATCTGGATGTGCACTTTGATAGTCTTTGAAACATCTGTCGCTGATTGGCTGGTTCATAACCAAGTATCGTGCAATAGCCTTCTGGTAACTTGAATAGACACTGCTGGACCTCCTGTGCTTAGTATGTGACATTCGAAGCAGAAGTTCGCCTTTGGCCCCCACTTGCTGTCAATTGAAATCATCATTGTTCTTGGAAAAGCTTTCTGCTAGCGTAATCAATCAAATTTTCTATTATTTTTCTTGCAACTGAATGCAATGAAGGCGACACCCTGTGAACAACCCCTGTATTAGGCAGATCGGCCGGTCATTGTCTACAGAAATAGCTCTCCAAAGAAGAATTAGAAAAAATTCACTTGCTAGGCGAGAGGCCTCAAGAGCCCAATCCCGCAGCGCAGACTTTTTAAAAGAACTTTCTCTTTAGCCCCCCAAGGCTAAACCGGGTCACCGGGCGTTTGTTCTTCACCTCGGTTCTCGGAAACCACCAAAGGGGAGGCAAAAACTATAGACACTGTGTTTCTGGACGTCGCGGTAGCCCACTCGAATGGTCTAAGCCACGACCGTGCGGGATAGCATGGTCTGCCCCTTCTGGCAGTAGGAACCGCGTCTGTGCTCCCAGAGCAGCTACTATCATAGAAGAATGTTAAGCTAGTGTACGCACCCCCAAAGGGCTGCTGGCGTAAGTCGTCATTACCCATTCTAATTTTTAGCGATATGCATTGATACGCGAATATACGAACATGAAACACATCAACCTGCATTTTACCTGCAACCTACGGCTAAGCAGATTCTCAAATGAGATATAAAGAATGGTTCTCGAATCCTTATGACGTATGATATTCATTTTATTTTAACTGAATTACAGCGATCTGTGAGTGGTCGTTTAATTCTTGATTGTCTGATAGCAAATTTCAGATAACAAATAAATTGAGGATAATAATTTATTACAAGAGATAAATTGGGGATTCTAGGAAAGAAATTTTCTTCAATTGAAATAGTATTACAGCAGAAATAAATTGCAGTTGAATAAAGAATGAAATAAAGAGATAATTCTGATCCCTATAGTTTATCATGATTCAGTAACTTCCAGTTCAGTGGTCATAACAAATGTATGAATGAATAGCAAATTATAAGTAAAACTGAGCAGTAATGTACTGAGAGAAATATGATATTCATTTAATATTTCGTTAGCTCAGATGAGTGCAATCATTATTTAAAGTGTAAGAGAAATAGAATCAGTGAAATATAATCGAAACAAACACGCTTAAGTGAATGGTTTTTGGATTGCTTACAGAATGGTTTACCCAAGAGGCATTTTGTGAGCAAAGATTTTTCCCCTTCAGTTCGTGATGGATGGATGGCAGCAAACAACAATGAGGCCGACGCCTTGGAGCCAATTAAAGTTACTCTGCGCTTTCTCTTAATGGGTACTGACTGACAAGGTCGTGCCCTGGAGATTTCAGTCCACAACTCTCTCTCCACGAAGCCATTTCTTCTCTAACTTTTATATATCCGCGAACTTTCCTGCCTAGCGCTATTCACAATCACTCATTTAAGCCTAACGCTTGTTGACTACAAAACCAAAATCTGTTTCGTGTCTCCCTGACATAACAAAATCGCCACAGAGAGCGCTTGAGATATTTAACGAGACAGACATCAAGAAGAAAGGGTTGCTCCGTATGTCTGTAGAATGCTACAAACGTTTCCATGATTTCGAATTAAACGTTCAGCCTAGGTTTGCTCGTTATTATTTTTCTGCTGTTTATTGATCTTAACATTTCAATCCTACTGTTTGTTTCAGCTAATTTAAAACAACTCTGTTGCATACCGTATGTAAAAGGCTGTAATAATACTTACTGTTTCTTAAAATTATACAAGAGTCTGGCAAAGTTAGCTCATTTTTACTGGTTTGTATCACATATTATAGCATTGTGAAATTTATTAAGTCAAGAATAAACTGGCTTTTGCTAATGTTAAAACCATGAACAATAAAACTGTTTATACTAATGCCATAAACCTTTTCCGTTTTAATTTTTAGCCGAAGCAAGCAAAGTGAATTTATATAAGTCTATCCATAAGTAACTGTATATTAATGATTTTTCAACGATATAACATTTCAGCCTTCAGAACATTTTACCTTATTTCTTTATATATTTCCTAGAATAAGACACTGCTGAATATAAATGATTCAGTAAGATTAAATTTTTATAAAAAGGAATGATACTTTGTATTTAGGAACGCTATGTGCGATAAATATGACAGAAAGAACGAATGCTATAGGATGCAAAGAAATCAGGTTCTAAACTGCAGACAAGATTTAAATAACGCCATGTTCTAAATAGACTCACTGTTATCATACATACGTAAGTAACTATGACTGTGAATCAATATTAGTATGAAAGCAAGTTATTAAATTATGTAAGTACATACAGATTCACAATTAAGGAATTTATTTTCAAATTCACAGGCATCTGAAAACAACTCTTATTTTAGCTATTCTCTTTTACAAATAAATTGAAATAAACATTATTTGCCTTCGTTTCAGGGACCACCTGGTCTCGTAGGTGTGCGAGGTCCTCCAGGGCTTCCAGGTGAAAATGTGTCGGTAAGAAACAATTTTTTGTAAACTTATGCAATGAAACATATGCAAAAATAAATATATTAAGCCTTTATTTCTTTATCTTATAGCTATGGAGATTCTGTAAATAAAATGCGCTACTGTTATATTAAGTAACAAAAATGACCCAAATATTCAAATTTTCTCATTTTAAAATTTAAAATTCATTTCTTAAAACTGCAAATCTAATCTTTATACGGCCTGTCTGATCACAGTAATTATATTAAATAAAAGTTTGTATGCATAAAAAAATAAAAACAAAAATTAAGACTAAAACTGATCAAGGTTTTAATGTTAAAAATTTGTTAATAACATTCGCAAGCAGTTTCATTACTTTGGGATCATGAAAAAAGGAGAAGAAAGCTATTCTTTGCTTTTTATTTAGACAAATGATTTACGAATCAGTTATACTGAAATATGCCATTGTTTTCAAAAAAACGAACTGTATAAAATTCTGCGAATAATTTCTCTCTTTTGGAACAATTTATATTGATCAAAACGATTCACGATACTCTGCATAGCCCTGATGTTAATAAGTTTTGTCACTTTATTGATATTATTTTTCTAAAGTGATGTTTCATTTTCAATTATTTATAAATTTAAATAGCTCTCTCTTCAATATGTGTATGACATGATCTCTAATTTGAATTTTCTCCGGCAATTTTTGTCGTACAGGAAACAAACATTTTAATTTTTAGAATGAGTATAATCTTCACTAAATATAATTCTAGAGACTGAGAATCAAATAAAAAGTGAGATTTCAGAATTGTTACAAAATTGATTTTTGAGCTTAAAAACGCCGTAACATGAATATTTTCCTTATTGAAAGCATTTTTGTAACTGGAGCTATGTGACCAACGGTTGCGAATAAAATGACCACAGAAGAATTTCTATGGACATTGTGCATATAAAATATAAAAGTGTTTTTGAGATTTTTGAAGTTGTATAAATTTTAAGTCCATCAAAAGCGTTTCATTTCTTTTTTGCTCGCTAATTCAGTTTCGTATAACTGTTTTCGAATTGCTTTTCCGTAACGTTTTGCTCAAGTGACCTCACTTTTAGTTTACCAATTTATTGTTTTTGTTATTTATGTATATTTACACATATTATTTTCTGTATGAAATTTTGCAATATTTCTCCACTAGTTTAGTATATATTAACATATATATGTTTCAATGTAATTTTTCAAGCTGAGATTGAAAGGCTTATATTTTCCACAGCATGTAATAAAACTTCCTCCATGGAAGTTTCCTTCAGGTTTCCTTTATAACAGTATTACTATTACTACATATAGTCATGTATCATTTTCTTCTTATTAATTGTCCCAAAAGTGCATTCACATCTATTAACATTTTATATATCTAACAGGGAGGAGGCATTATCGGACCTCCTGGAGTGCCTGGATTACCCGGACCTAAGGTAAGCTTAGTTCTGTATTCATTTAAATTTTTCTAAGGATGAACTTTGTTTAAAAATTACACTTAAAACATTTGAAAATCTTGCAATTCAGTACTGATTACTTGTTCTGATAAACCACTGGTAGTCGTACGAATAACATTGTGAGAAGTTTTTAAAAAATGAGGAATTTAATTTCGTCAATTTAGTTAACGATAAGAATAACAGTGTGAACTGGATAGTAAATTTTCAAATGTTTAGCGTGCCTCAAATTTTTGTTTACAACCAACGTAATATATATGAATACGACAGCCTTGCGTACTGTAATTCATTTTTTGTCACGATCTAGCGCCATGAAATGAGATCACGTTTTAGACCTGCTAGTAAGGCACTAAATAAAAAGATTTATTCTGAACGTGAAGAAAAGAACGTGCTAAGCTCCGTGCTTTATGATCATTAATAAATATTTTTAGCTGTATAACAAGTTTGAAATATAAGATTAAAAGATTTAAATGCCTTTCAACACTATCTTTAATCAAGAGACATTTTTTAATCTTTTAAATTTTAGTAGTATATGACATAAAGCTACATGTGCTTTATATAGGTTTAATGCGTATATAATACTTGCGTATATATAGGAATTAATGCGTATATATAGGACAGTATATAGATTTCGCTGCTTCCATGTTTTTTACTGTTGACCGAGTAAATGAAGACGCTTTTGAGGGTTTTCTCTGATTTCTTTAAACTTTGATCCTCATTAATGTAATTTAAATAATATGTAACAGTTTTATGTAATGAGAAATCGTACAATGAAAGGAAAAATTAAAGAATCTGAGCTAGCCGCATTGTCTATTAAATTAATCTTCTGCATGAGAGTATCTTATTTCTAAAATATATAAATTAATTTGCATGTAAATTTATTTAAAATTTTTATTTATATATTATTATTTAACTACATAAATTATATTAACTTACTTTATTTGAAGGTTTTTCTCTGATTTCTTTAAACGTTAATCCTAATTAATGTAATTTAAAGAATATGTAACAGTTCTACGTAATTAGAAATCGTACAGTGAAAGGGAAAATTAAAGAATCTGAGCTAGCCGCATTGTTTATTAAATTAATCTTTTGCATGAGAGTGTCTTATTCCTATAATATATAAATTACTATAGCTATTTTAATTAATGATTTATCAGTATTTGTTAAAATACACTCCTGTGCAAAATTTCGTTAATTTGCAAATTGTGCATATTTTTGCTAAAAGCATTGAACTTAAGGTATTAATTAGGCCGGAGAATTATGCAAGTGTTTACACGAGCGTGTCTGCGGAGCTATGATTGTGGACAAGATATAAGCGCACTAGGGATTTGCGGCGATTTGTGTGCTCGCACTACTTTACGACATTCGTTGTATTTCTCACAAGAGTTGTATAAATTTTAAAAGGTATCAGTTACAATGAGTAACCACGAAAGTATGGATGAAGAAATAAGATGGAAAATTGTCAGCAGATTGGAGGCAGGCCAATCGCAATCGCAACCGGCTACAGAGCTCAGAATAAGGTTCATTCTAAATATAATTTGTGGAAAAAGTTTCAGGACACTGGATCCATATCGATAAGACCTGGATCAGGTATGTTGAGATCCACAGCAACGAATGAGGAAGGATTGTTAACTCGTATTTTCACCGAGGCGACACAGTACTGCTGCAGCTTCCCAGCTCTCACGTGCGCCGTATGCTACTACGAGAAAACCGAGTTTTATGGTTTACGTTTGCCTGAAGCTTCTTGAGATAGGGCTGTAAGCGAGAAGACCTGCTGTTTGCGTACCGCTCCCTGCAGCACATAAGGAAGCACGTTTATCATAGTGCAGACAACATGCTCCTTAGACAAGACTTCAGTGGAGCACCATGCATTTTAGAGATATGTCGAGATTCATCTTGGCCACTGATACTCGACGTATCTGTAACTGGAGAGCTTGGATCACGAAACCAACCAAACCTCTTCAGAAAAAGAGTATCGTTATCTTGGTTGGGGTGTAATGATCTGAGCGGGCCTTACGCCGGACCGCCTCACACCCCTGCATGAGTTTGACAAAGACTACGTGATTTCTATCAGACATAGAGACGAGATTTTAGAACCCTATGTTCGAATTTTAAGGGGCACATTTTGTCCTGGACTCCAGTTGATGGACGACAACTTTCGTCCACTTAAGACTCAGCTGGTCGACGTTTACCTGCAAGGTGAGTATAATTGCTGCCTGAATTGGCTAGCCAGGTCTTCTGACGTTAACTCTACAGAGCATGTCTGGCACGCTCTTGGGAGGGCACGTTCATCTCGCTATTTCCCTCCGAGAATCATCTGAGAGTTAAAAATTACCTTGCTGCTGAAGTGGCATCGACCGCTATAGGGACTCCTCAACTGTCAACTATGCCGTCAACGCTGCGCGACCTGTCTGGCTAGGAGAGAGGACCATACTCCATATTAGAATTATTTTCAGTTCGATATCACTATATGAATTTTGGACGTCCTTGTAATATGAATTTTACTATAATCATACATACATTAAAATAAATTTTGAAAGGTACGTCTCTTTCTCTATATATCCATATAAAATTTCATTAAAATCTGTCCATTAGTTTTTCAAAATTTTGACTTAACATGCAAATTTTGTTAGTTTTGCATAAAAGTGCAATATTGCCATGAAAAATAAACTCTCAACAGGTTTTATTAAAGATGCTTATGATAAGCTGGGGGAAGAAAAACATTTCGTAAGCAATTGCCGTTGTTAATTAGCAAACCATTTTTCAGATCCGTATTGCCTAGTATTTGTTTTACCTTTTATTCGTACATTGAAATCATTAATTCTCCTTGTTAGCTTGCAGTTATAATTGAATGGATTTTCATATATGCAACTTGCACTAAACTAATAACGATAAGGGTAGAGATTTATCACATGACTCGCTAAAATTAATTGATTCAGCTGCTTGGCGCTGAAAAAAATTATTCTAATATAAGAATGCGCAATCATCGAGCTTTCACGATGCAGCATTAAAGTCATTAGTTACATTTTAGGAAAAAGAAAATGAAAGAAAGAAAAATGAAGAAAGAAAAAACTCATTCACTCTTCTGAATGCAGACAGCTTGTATATTCTATTTAAAAGAACGGGAAAGGGGACCTTGAAAAGAATAATCACACAAAAATAGCTTTTGATAAACTATGTAATCTGAGTAAATATCAACTCTTCCACTCAACAGCTAACTCATTTTCCTCTTGACTATCTGTACTTTACAATAGCCTGAATATAATTTTAGGGTGAGCAGGGTCTTCAAGGTGTTCCTGGCGTCAATGGTCTGTCCTGTCAGATGATAATTATGCTCATCAGTTCTAACAGTACATGCCACAAGAAAGAATAGCAGTGTCTTGGTTAAAGCGATGGTGACAATGTACCAAAGATGCCTAATGCAAAATAATTAGATGACGGCGAGATGCAAAATATTCAGAATGCTTCAACTGTGATCGTAGAATTTAAGGAAGTACGTGAGGTATAAGAAGCATTCGCCCCAGCATTCGCAAATTGCATAGAGATTTGAATTTCAAGTATAAGAAGAAATCTTACACGCAAATTATAGTGAGAATTACGTTGCTTTGTTTTCATAAAATATATTTGCTTCCTTCAGGCCCAAAAGAACCTATTTTTAAAATATATGTAATGCAATGTTTGAAAGATAGGTCATTTCTGCTTTTACGAGATCTATATAATAAGAAGGCTCTTTGAAAGGCAAAACTAGTACGGTTAGGTGAAATGCTTGCCGAAATTGTATATATAAGTGTTATCGTGGAAAAAACATCTGCGATGAATTCATGGGAAAATTTATAGATCTATCATTTAAACCTAATATTATACTTTAATTTTGTTTTTCAGTGTCACGAATTTTAATATTAATTACAAAAGGAGTTTTGAATTAAAGGTTTGGTTTTGGTTTTATTACATTACGGCAAAGCACTCGAGGGCTATCTGCCTTAAGGGAGGGATGCCTTCGTGGAGGACTTTCTAAGGGAAACTGGCTCGTATACACGTTACACGTGGGGAAAACCACAAAAACGCCCATGCAGCCATCCCGTTCGCGAGATTCGAACCTCGGACGGAACTACCAGTGCTCAGCGACGTTACCGCTCGGCCACTGGTGGGTCCTTGAATTAAAGGAATTCTATGATTAGGAGATTTGCACTTCGAAAGTGAGATCAATGATATTTTATTTGTTTATACTGAGATGGTTTCATTGCTTACGCTTTAAAGCTACTTTCTGAATTTTATTATGCAACAGAGATTTAAAATATGTTATTTAAGTTCCCAAAAGAGTTCCCTGGCAAGTTTTAATACTGGCACATAGCCAAGACATAATATTATTTGTATTAATTAAGTATAAAAAAATATTTGTAATACCATAAGTTTTTTACGATTAACCAGATTATTACTTCAAAATAATAACATTTCACGCAAATATTAACAGCTTATATTTAGACTTTGAAACCGTATAAATTACTTGCGTGAAATTTCTTTCGGCAAACCAAATTTTCGAAAATTATAAATAAAGGCACAAGTGAAACACACACAATAAAAAAGTCATTCAGTGGCATTTTAAGAGAAAAAATTCAACCTCGAATTATTCAAATTTACTTATTTAGACCCTTCAATGCAAATTCAAAATGTCGTCAAATGTCGCAACTTTTGAACTTTTGAAGTTAATCATGTCTTTTAGTTTCTTTCATATGGGATTCAAACGTTTTGGCTTGCATTTTTTATAATGATTACAAAAATTTCCTAAATGTAAGTATAGGGACCAAAAGAGCGTGTATACAGTGTATAATAAGCTGTTTATTTTCGACTTTTAGGATTTTGATAAATATTAGTGTCATATTTCATTATCTTTTAAATTCTGTGATTATTTAATTTCTGTTTTCATCATTTTCGTGTTTCAAACTTTAGCCAGCATCACACATCCAAACCCATCTGAACCCAATTCTTTAGCTAGACTTCACCTAATTCGATGTTAAATAGAGTACGGTTAATAGAGCTCAGTAACCGATTATTATTTATTTTATTGTACTTTTGCTATTCTCGATGATCATGAAATTCTATACATGTATGTATTAAGAAAATATGTTTGTAATTCAGTGTGTATATTAATTAAGAAGAAAATGTTTCGTATAGGGTGAACCTGGAGTTCGTGGAGACAGAGGACTGCCTGGTCGTCGAGGTCTTCCAGTAGGTAACCGGTTAATTTTTCCAAGTGCAGTTAAGGCAGTAGCTTGTTCTATGTCATTATATATCTTACGAGAATATAATTAAGACCTCACAGTATTAGAATAATCTAGCACTACCTGGCTGCCTTACGTATTACTACTATTTTTTTTTATATATTTTCCTCTCCAAAATGGGATGTCGTAGGACAAAATAACTATTCTTTGGAGGAATAATGATAGTTTCTAACGCCTGGCCATTTAAAGCAACCTTACGTTCCGACAAACGGCTTTCATGACAGAGTGTCATTAAGAGAAATTTGGTATAGGTTGACTACGTTTCGATTGTTGATTTAAGTTGATTTAAAGTAAGCATTTAACAGAATGCGATGGTCATTACGAGGGCACAGTTCTTTAGAAAGGCTAGTTGATTGCTCTTTAATTGCTTTTATGAAAAAATTCCATAATAATAGATAAGAGGAAGGACAAATGAAGTTATATAAATAAGTATGTTTGCGGCATAGAAGGATAATAGGGAGACAGTAATCATGAAGTATACCAATTGCACCCTACAAACATTTATTATAAAAGCATACGTATATTGAATAGAAATTTACGACGTAATTAGTTGCATACAGTTCAATAATACAATTCATTCTGGTCTTAAAGTCAGACCCGGATTATTCTGGATCATGATTAGACCCGGAAGAATGGGTTGTATACTATTGGCATACATAATAAAAGATTATTTTATAATGACCAAATTAAAAAAGAATGCTAAATAATAGAGATTTACCCTTCAGTTTGATTGAAAGTTCTCAAATTAACTGAGTAAATTCTAAAAATTTCTCAAAATACTTAATTAATTAATAATTTTATTTTGGAATATATCTGAGATAAAATAAGGAACTAATTTTGAAATAAAATAATACAGTGAACCGATCGGTTTTAAAATTAAATGGTTTCTAAAGGAGAGAAATATAAAATTTGTTTTATATCTATGTTATGTGTATTAGAAGTCTACACTGTGGCCTTTATCTTTTGAATCGTTTGCATTTCTGTTTAGGGAAAAGAAAATTGATGGTAGGCCTCATTTTTCCTATTTGAATATTTCTTTAATCTGTAGTAGATGTACATTTTATCATTTTAAAAATCCTGCCAGAATAAAATTGAAAATGCAAACGGAAACATTTTATACAGCCGTCAAACACCAAACGCGACACAATTATCATTTGATGAAAGAATTTTATAATGAAGAACTCCATAACTGTAATATTTATGTGATATCCAAATTCAATTGAAATTTCTATTTTATGAAACGTAAAATAGTGGTACTCATCAGGAAATATTTTTCTTTACGCCAGTGTAAATAAAAATACCGATCTATCCATGTATAACATAAACTTTTTCAGCATTTTCTGTTTCAGTAACAAAGCATTTCGTTTGTGATTGGTCTTACAGAAAGCTTAAACTTCGATTTTTTGTGCTAATAGTTCTGTCTAATAATAGTCTATCATGAACTACTACTTTAAGCGACTGGAAATATCTTCGTAACTGAAAGAACTGAAAGTGTGCACTTTTAACAGCATTATATTAAAGAGTATGGCCTGAAGTACCATTTATGCTTGTTTGCTATGCAGTCAAATGCATTATACAGAGCAATTTATACTATTTTCTACAAATGACTAATTATTTTTACGGAGTTTAAACCCAGAATTCAAATGATCTTTCGCAGTCGTATTACAGAAATGAAAAAATAATATTTCTGATGTTTATAATGTCTAAATGCTCCAAAAAATTCAGCTTTAGATTCTGTAAACATGAAAGATGAATAAGTATCACGTGTTGCTTTCTTTTCATTTCCAAAATCAATATTTGCGATAGGCAACGTTCTCGAGGCAGCGTTTTCCAAGGCAGTTCTAAATATAGTGTGTAATAATAGTGTGTTTAACAACTGACAGAAGCAATTTTAAGTTAAAATAAAGGAAAAGTTTCATTTTTTAGGAAGGTGACTAAGATTAGAACCACTTTAAGAAAATCCTGTTCTTTTGTTGTTTCAAATAAATCCACCTTTTGCTCACAAAAATCAATGTCTTTATTCTTTATTCCATATGGAAACAAAAGAACTACAAAACTTGTTTGATAGCATAGGGGTCATTAAAGAATGGCTACTAAAGAAATCGGTTTTCGAGTGGACACATACATATTGGCGGGTAAAATTAAAGTGAAAACTATAAAAACTCATACAATTTGAATGATTTTGTAGCAAAAATAATGGAACTTGCTCAAAATGTTTATTTTGTTATGTCTGACATATCTTCAAATGCAGGATGCCTATATCTTCAAAAAGAATTAAATAGGAACATTGGAAATATAATATAAATGTGGGGTAGAGAAAAGATGTTGTTGCAATTTTTTAGAGATACATAGACGGTCTCCCCTGACAGAAAAGCGATTGCAGTGATCTTCCACGCTCTGTATTGCATTGTCCAGCAGCTCCTTCGGTAGTAACGGTTGAATACTTTTCAGGTCAATAAGCCCTGAAGCTCTTGAAGAGTGGTAGTTGGGACCTGCAGAGATGCTAGTCGGTGTTTTAGTGCATCTGTCTGATTTAAATCCGGAGAATATGAAGGCCCCTTCCGTATGCTTTTATTCCTTCGCTCTGAAGATAATACCAGTACAAAGCAATAAGGAAGAGCGTTATTGTCCCTTAGGATGAAGTTATTTATGATCTCCCCCACTAAACACTTGGAATAAAGGTCAAGAATCTCATCTCTGTATATTTCAGCATTCATATTTGTGCTGGTATAAATATGTAGGCCACTGAGTCTATTCAAAATGTTTCTCGCCATACCATGATTCCACACCTTTGTACGATGAGTTTCGCAGATGTTATTGCGCGTGTTTTACACCCTCCAGATTGTAACACGTCTGAAATCACTCTCCAAACAAAACCGATGCTCATCAGCAATCTGAACTCCGATGCAGTGCGTAATACTCGAATCATGATACACCACTGCAACCGGGCTAATTTTGAAACCCGAGTTAGTGGGACAAAATTCGTGGATATCCTTGCATTCAGCTCTCTTTTATGCACCCTGTCACTCATGGTACATCTAAATAGTCGAGTCACTGTAAGTGCCTTTCAATCTGACTTGCAGTCTGGGCTGACGTCTGTTTCAATCGTTGCCAACAATGGTCCTAGAAGTCTATTGTGGCCCATTTTTTGACCTTGAGTTGCTGCTCATACATCACCAATGTCTTTAAAATCGTTTCTAAATATTAACTAGGACTCTTGCGTGTACATTTATGTCTTCACAGACCAGCGTCAGTACTGTCTAGCTTATGTTCTTCAGCTGCACGCCAGTTCGTCACATGCCCTTTCAACGAATGTTGCATCTACACGCGGAAACATTTTGTGTGATTACTTATACTGTTCTTTTAATTAATTTAAAGCACCTTTCTTGGCATTCCTTTCCAGACGTTTCGAAAGAACAAGCACAAAAAGTATATATATGTTGGGGAACGAAGGCTAATGGGAACTGGACCACGTGATAACGCTAATTTTGAACTACGAGCCTACTATATTTGGATGGAGTTCGGTTAATGGGTTTAATATAAAGCGCTTTTTCATAGCTGCTCCTTTAATTTTTCCCGCCATCATATTTTTAGTTAATTGGCAGAGGCGATATTTTCATCATGTGCATGGTATGCTTCACATTGGTGTGAAAATGTTGTTGCGTTCTACGGGTTCGTGGATTCGGAGCGATTGATGACACTTGATGAAGAATCAAAACACAGTTATTCGTCAGTATTACACAAAAGATTTCCAAAGACATGTTTACAGCCGTCAAAAAACTACGATAAACACGCTGCAACAATCACCAACACAGCCTTCTGGCTATCAGGCTGTAACAGTGAAGTACTAAAGGTTTACGGCAAAGCACTAAAGTACAGCTTCCGACTCGGTCGAGCGCTCTCGAGCTAATCTCTCAACTCAAGACACTACTAACAAACTTAGCATACTCTCGATATTCTCCTACTCCGCATACCGGCAGGATATTTATAGCTTTTGACCTGCCTTTGAGAACAATCTTAGGAATACCGGTAAGAATTCATTCTAGAATGCTCCCGCTCTGTCTATGGCATATCGCCAATTCTGTCACTAAATGTCGCCAAATAAGCGATTTCGCGCCAAATCTGGCAACCCTAATCCCCTTTTGCGGGGAAACTATCCTATCTCAGCTGGGCATTTCGTAACAGTATGATTAGAATGTTATATTTACTTCCTTATTTATCAGCTTATTAGTGTTAACCATTTTTATTAAGTCCTTGGAAGTTAGTTAAGTGTTAACCACTGTAAGTTAACTCGCAAGTATTGACATATGTATGTGAAATGCTCAATAATTTTCCTTTGACTATTTTAATCTTTATTTCTACTTTTAGGGTCTTAGGGGTGAGCCTGGTATAGTTGGAAAACCAGGACCAGCAGGACCGCCAGTAAGTTAAGTTCTTTTTTTAGATTATAAGTGGTAGTAGTACATATTGCCGTGTTTACTCGCGTAATAGTCGCACTTATTTTGCCAATTTTTCCTTGTGGAAGTCTATGTACGACTATTATACGGGAAAATTTAGTATACGATATTGTACACTTTTGATGATTTTTTCTGCTTCAAAACGGGGCGCGACTATTAAGCGAATAAACACGGTACTAATAGCGTTAAACGTAGTGGCATAAAAGAAAACGGGAAGAGAGGAGTTCGTTGATTTAGGATGTGGTTACATCATGATAAACCTGACCGATAAGTTGAAAATATTGTAAACACAAAATGGTCTGATAAATATCACGTGCTGAATAATATAGCTTGCCTAAGCACGCCTTAAATACAACCTAAGCACGCCTTAATACCTAAGCACGCCTACAGAATTTACATTAGCCTCCACTTGAACAAATTTCTCTAATGCAAAACTTCTTGGGTAATAAATGTTTTATTCTTCATGTAATTTAGTTAATCTTTTAGAGAAAGTAAAATATAGTATGGTTGCATGGAAGAGATATTTCTCTTAAGTGCTATTGCGGTTCGATGATTAATCTATTGGTTCATCAATGTATCACGTATCTATTATAGGCTTGTGCGCACCTTTTGGTCCAGCAATCCCAAGGTTATATTATCAGGTTCAATGTTTCTTCTAACCTTCTTCGGAAACATACAATGACCTGACTAGAACAGAGAGCTTACTAAAGCTATGTTCACTAATTGTAGTAAGTAGACAGGATACAGACGAAGGGTATACAAAACCCTTTATTTTTTCTTTATATACAGTGACTTCCGTACTTCGGAATACAATGACCCTCCACTCGGGGTCTAACTTAAAAGATATCAAAATAAAACTAAACTCTAATTTAACTTTAGAATAAGATTGGCCTTATAATAACAGGAAGCGTATGTAGCACAGAGACTGTGAACACTACAATACGTTTAATTTATCAGGAGGATTAAAACCTCTGGCCTGGAAGGCAAAGTAGCAAACTGCGTAACTTCTAAGGTAAGCGGCCTTGCTTCGAACTCACGGCTTCCTCTCTTCTGCTTGGCAAAAAGGCCACACTTAAATACTTGGCGTTCGCCAGACAAACTTTGCATAAACTCCTTCACGCTTATAATTCTGGCCGGAAGTAGAAAATAAGAAGTGATAGTAAAGATTTAAAATAAAATAAACGTTAGTAAAACTTAAGATCCTTACATACTTCCCGCCAGAGTTAATTAGTTTGAAACTGAGGTCTAAAACGACCTTGTTGAAAACTTTTAGCTCTAGAAACTAACGCGAGGCCAACCTTTTACAATCATAACTTAGCTAGAAACTAGAAAATTTTTAAAAGAAAGAAATTTGTTACAATAGCAGCTCCCGGAATATACAACAATCTTTTTCTTTTTCATCTGTACTGCATCTAAACAGGAGCTTTATATTCAATTCTGGTTCCTTCCAGAGATCTGGAAGGAAAATTAGTTTAATGAAATGTTACAGAATGACATTGCAAATAACATATAGAATATACTTTTCTTAACATTCTTATTTCATTCATGACTATTTTAATTATCTCTCCCCCGTGCTCTCTGACATGTGTTGTAAAAACACCAAAACACGAATGTGTTTCTGTCTATGTGTTCCAACACTTCCTCTACACATCAAAACACTAACGTGTTAAAATTCAACATACGAGACCTCTTAACACACCCTAATTTCAACTCTAGACCCTGAGGTACTATTCTGAAAGTGGCTAACTCTAAAGTGTAGCGTCAGAGAGCCTAACTACAAATCATTCAACCTTTAACACATATTCACCATGATTTAATCTTTACAGTCACACGAATAACAAATTTTTAACATTACTTTCACTTTTACCATATCATCACGGTATTTCTAAACATTCAAAATAACAGTTCACATGTATACAAGAACATATCAAGATGCCGTTAATTTTACACATTTTGAAAACATACATTAGTAGTACATTGTTAACTTCTATTCTTTTCAAAGCAAGTGCCAATTCTTTCTACATTGAAATAATACTACATTTCAAAAGTCTTTCAGACTAAAAACTTCTTTCTTGTTAGAATGTTTTAAATAAAATTTATACACAATAACTTTTTACAATATTTAAGTCTTTATACAACGCTATTATACATCAACTTTAAGTTTTACGCGCGAGTAATTGAAAAACATAATAAGAAAATCGGTCACAACTCATTTCTCGCCCTTTTTGGCGATAAAGGTAGAACCTCGCATGAGGTAAAACTTCTTGAAATCTGCCACTTGCAGTAAGAATGAAAGATTAACTTAAGTTTGTAAAGTAACATAAAATTTTTACTTATCTTTGTAATATTCAGACATCCTTTTCTGGGCCCAGTCTTTAAAGGTGCTGCAGACCGTAGCTTGGTTGATCCTCCTTCTTGTACGGGCTCGCCCTTCAGTGCTTTCCTCTGGAAGCTTCCGTTTTTCCACCACTACGGCCACCCTTGAACATCTTCCTTTTGTGCTCTGCTTGTGGTCTTGGCCGTTTGAAGGCAGCTGGTCTTGGTGGAACCGGGAAACTTCTGTCGTGATCCTGCTTGGACCTCGTTGTTGGCCGTTCAAATTTTTCTTGTACTTTTTCCTCCGCCGCTGATGGCCCTTCCACAGTTCGGCGACTTTTGCTGCGGAGAGTTCTGTCGGATGAGTCAATCTTCCGTTTCACAGCCGGTTATAGTTGCCGTCCTTTCTCCTTTCTCCCGGTCTTTTCCACATACGTCGTCCTCTTCTCCCTTCTTCATTCTGGGGGTGTTCGTGAACTCTGTTTTTTTGGACGGTGGAACGGCTTCTTTTTCTTTTTACCTTCAGTATTTCCGCGGGGCAATTTTCTTTTCACTTGCTTCTGTCTCTCATTGGCTTGCCCTTGTACCTGTCGTTTTTTCCCACCTCTGGAACTTGTACCTGCGGTGTCTGCCGTACCGGATCCTGCAAAAGATCTGAAAAGATTTGCATTTTATTACGATCGAAGTAGGGCTTTGATTTGATCAATGTTTGCGGAACAGTTTCACAGGTTTCACCATTTCTTGCCTTTTAACACTACAACAGCGTGAGTTATTTTTCTATAACATATGGTCCTTCAAAGCGTGGAAAAAATTTTGGCAGTTTTATCTTCTGGTGCTGAAGAAAGTGAATGCTTAATTTTTAGTACTTCATCCCCTACTTTATAAGTTACTACTCCCCGTCGTTTCAAGTCATAATACAATTTTTGTTTTCTTTGTGCTACTTCTCTACTTCCGTATTCTTTTTTGCTTCTTTTAATTAGTTTTCTATATCACCCATTTTAAATTCTGGGGCTCTTTGTTGCACATAAAATAAGTTTATCTAACGGTGTTATAATCTTTCTGCCTAGAAATAACTCAGCAGGAGTTTTGCCCGTTGTATCATGTTTTGCGGTCCTAAGGGCGAAAGCAAATTCATTGACATAGTTATCCCAGCTTTTATGAAAATTTTTAACATAACTACGGATAATTTTTTCACTATATTTCTGTTGACCCGTTTCCGCTATATTTGATTGCGGCCGATACGGGACCATTTTTAAATGACGTATGCCCAGTTTTTGGCACATGTCTTCAAATATATTACTTACAAATTGAGGACCATTATCCGATATAACTTTTAGGGGCGCCCCGTATTTTAAAATATATTTATTTAAATAGAATCGGTAACTAATTTCGCGGAGGCTCGTTTTAAGGGAAACAATTTCGGTCCATTTACTAAAATGATCATAACAAGGAGATAGCGACTTTTGTTTAACTGACTTTTTGGGAAAGGGCCCAATAAATCGATGCCGATTATTTCATTCATTGGAAATTCGGATTTAATACTATTTTTAGAAACCCGGCCGGGCGGAAATTAATATAATTAACGGCTTGACATGTTGGGCAGGACTGGACATACGCCCTTGTTAACTTTTGCAGTTCAGGAAAGTAGACTGCCTCGCGTACGCGTTGGATAGTTTTTTCGAATACCAGCATGAGAAGCTAAAGGGCTGTCATGGAGCTCTTGCAGGATATTTAATCTAAGACTAGCTGGGATAACAGGTCGAAATTCGTTGTTGGAATTCGTAGTTTTTGTGTAGAATAATAGACCATCTATTAGTTCGTAATGGGCCGCCCTATTTCTTATCGCCACAATATCTTGGTGGCTAAAATTTTCAGGATCCTTCAGATACTTATAAATACTTCCAAACTCAGGATCCTTACCCAGTTCGGTTATTACAGTTTCTCGGGAATTTATTGTACACGCTGTCAGCATTGCAACTTTTACGGTATTACCTTCTTCATCTATTTTTATTCGTGGATAGGGCATCCTGCTACGATATTTTCCTTTCCGGGATTGTGTTTGATTACCGAAATTATACCCCTGTAAGCTTGAGTGCCCATCTTATTAACCTTGGGGATAAATTTTTTCCTGAGTACAATGCATTAGATGATACTTCTAGTTACGCCGCATGATCAGAATACACTGTTACTCGGCGCACTTTCCAAAATAGACTCGGAACTTTTGCACTGCTAACAGAACTGCAAGTGCCTCTCTCTCAGTCGCGGAATAATTTATTTAAAATTTCTTTTGTGAGTTTGATTTAAAGTTCTACTAAAAAATGCCACGGGCTGCTGATTTTGCGAAAGTACCACCGCTCCTACCGCATAATCCGAAGCATCCGCTGAAATTTCTAAATTTTCATCCTTTTCAGGAAATTTCAACACAGGGGCTTGCGTTAATGCTGTTTTAATTTTTCGAAAGCACTATTGGCTTCGGCCGTCCACGAGAATCTTGCCTTTTTCCTTTTTAATTTAACAATGGCTCAGCGATAGCCGCAAAATCTTTTATAAAGGACCTATATATGAACAAAGTCCTAGAAAAGAAGAGAGCTTCTTTGCCGTGTTTTGGAGTCGGATACTTTTGTACCAGCGATTATTTTTGATTCATCTGTCTCGATCCCCTTTTGCGATATTTTGTAACCTAAATATTTTAATTCAGGGGCTGCAAATTTGCATTTTTCGACATTAACTTTTAGACCGGCCTCATTTAATAAAGAAAACACCTGTCTTAAATCCTGTACATGTTGGTCTAGATTATCACTAGTAATAATGATATCGTCTAAATAGATAAATGTGGACTTTCCGAGAACAGGTCTTAACACATGTCCATGCATCGCTGAAATGTTTGCTGGGGGGCCCTGAAAGGCCAAACGGCATTCGCAAAAATGCATAAGTGCCAGACTTGGTTATAAAAGCAGTCTTAGGCACGTCCTCAGGCCTGATCCCTATTTGAAAATAACCATTCGTTAAGTCTAAAGTCGTCATAAATTTGGTTGATTTTATGTTCCTTAAAATTTCTTCTATAATCGGTAACGGATATACCGGATATTTCGTTATGGAATTTAATTTACGGTAATCAATAGCGAATCTCCACCTTTTTGGATGCTCCAAAGGATAATCATTATTTTTCTTACATAAAACCACCGGACTAGCATAACTACTTGAGATAGGCGTTACGATCTTTTTACGTAGCATATCGGTAATATGCCATTCTATAATTTTTTCCTTATTCTTATCATACCGGTATGGTTTTGACGAACCGGCAATGCATCTCCGGTGTCAATACTATGGTTAGTAACCTGGGTAAATCCTGGAATATCACTAAATAAGGAAGCAAATTCACTTACCACTTGTCGGATTCTATCTTGCTCGTCATTAGGCAGGTGGTCAAGATTTAAACTTGGCGGTTCAACCTTTTCTTACACGCACTGGTTTCATCGTCAGCTTAAGAGACGCTTCATTAAAATCCAGTGTAGCTTGTGCGTCTGAAAGAAAGTCTATTCCTAGTATTAAGTGTGCTTGCAAATTCTTTACTAATAAAAAACATCACCTTTACTGTTCGTCCTTGATACGGATGTACAAAGGTACTTTACCTACGCACTTACATTGTTCTCCTTGCGCCGCTAATACTGTTGTATTATCCGCATTATATATGGGTATTTGCGAAAATACTTTCTAAAAAAGACTTCTGCCACACAGGAACACTGCGCGCCGGTATCCAGGAGTGCGGTGGCCGGGATATTATTTACCAAGACTTCAATCTTCGGAAGAGTTAAATTTTTCACCATTACTGTATTTAACTTGTAGGAAGAGGGGTTTTCGTGGCCTTCGGATTTCCGCACCCTCGTCAGCAGAAATCCGTTTTAGTTTAAATTATTTTTCCTTTCGGTGCTTTCCTTCTTTCTCCACTGGCATTGAGACTTTTTTCCTGGGTTGCTATTGAACTGTCGACGTTCGCCGGCTGTTTTTTGAAGGCTCGGGTTTCCTTGCCCACTGATTCGCTTTTTTCTCCGTAGCCATGTGCTTGAGTTTGCTGTAGTCTTGGCGTACCAAATTGGTTTCGCTGTTGATATTGGCGTCTTCTTTCGACGTCCGCCGTTCTTCTACTTTCAAACTGGATTGCTAGCTCAAATAACTTTTCCAGTGTAGTCGGATTTCGTAATTCAATAAAGTCTTGCACTTGGGGTAGTAACCTCGGCAAAATCACTTGAATTATTTCAGGATCCGGACGGTTTCCATACAAGAGCTTGAAAACGTGAATTTTTCTTAAAATAAAACTCGAGAGGTTTTCCATTCTTTGTTGATATATACTGAAAAGTTCTGTTTCTAATTTCGCACGATCCCTTACAACAGTGAAGGCTTTTAGTAGGGCAGTCTTGAAATTTTCGTTGGTATAGGTGGGACTTCCTGCTTGACCCAAGAGACTTCTGCCGATACATTTGAACCAGTTAAGCGCTTGGCCCCTCAAAGCGCTGGTAGCTAAGGTAACTTTTTGAAACTCGTGCACGGGGTAGAGCATGAAGTGGTCATCCAATTTTTCGAAAAAACTGGTTACCTGTGAGTTTCCATTAAACGTTGCTTCTGGTTTCATCGAAGCGCGCATGGTCTGGACAATGTACCCAAATCCTTCCAGGGCGGCAGCTGGCATTTCTGGATTCTGAGCCGTTTCTGCAGGCAGCACAGGTTCTTCTTGAAACTCGGCCATGGTTATTCTTCGTCGTCGGGCGCCACTATCAGGTTCAATGTTTCTTCTAACCTTCTTCGGAAACATACAATGACCTGACTAGAACAGAGAGAGCTTACTAAAGCTATGTTCACTAATTGTAGTAAGTAGACAGGATACAGACGAAGGGTATACAAACCCTTATTTTTTCTTATATACAGTGACTTCCGTACTTCGGAATACAATGACCCTCCACTCGGGGTCTAACTTAAAAGATATCAAAATAAAACTAAACTCTAATTTAACTTTAGAAATAAGATTGGCCTTATAATAACAGGAAGCGTATGTAGCACAGAGACTGTGAACACTACAATACGTTTAATTTATCAGGAGGATTAAAAACCTCTGGCCTGGAAGGCAAAGTAGCAACTGCGTAACTTCTAAGGTAAGCGGCCTGCTTCGAACTCACGTGGCTTCCTCTCTTCTGCTTGGCAAAAAGGCCACACTTAAATACTTGGCGTTCGCCAGACAACTTTGCATAAACTCCTTCACGCTTATAATTCTGGCCGGAAGTATAAAATAAGAAGTGATAGTAAAGATTTAAAATAAAATAAACGTTAATAAAACTTAAGATCCTTACAATATGTTCCGGGCTCGAGCGCAATTTCTTTTCAAATATATACTACTCCTGATTTCCACATGTTGTATATAATGGCTGTAAGTGTAATTATCATAAATATGCGCATTGGAAAGCACACTGAATTCAAAGCATTAAACTTAAATTTATTCTTACTTAACCGGGTTATTATAATAAACAAAATCATACATGTCATTATCTTCTATTGAGGCTTATGAGAAGGCATTGGGAGTCGATATATTTGTTAATAGTTCAACAAATTTAAGGTATCTTGGAATATTTTAAGTTTCCGACTTGTTAAAAAACTTGGACGAATCAAGTGTTCTGTAAAAAGTAGGTGATTAAATTTTCTTGTTTAGCTGCAATTCCTAGTATGTGAAAATGTATTATTAAGACGCAAGTGTCAATAATATGTTAATGGTTACGCCTTTGGTTTATTTTCTAAAATGTTTATATAAATTTATACATTCTTTGCAAGAAATAATAATATTGAGACACTTAGATGTGCAATAAATTAGGAGGAACATTTTTGAGAGGAGCGACTTTCATTTATAAAATAATATATGTGCAAATATTAGACACATAAGCAATACATTAATTCATAAAAATGAAAAAAAATTATACTTTCTCAAATCTCGTTAATAACTATAATGCAGTTCAGTATCTCATACATCAAAAGCTTTAATCAGTTTCGGGCATAATGTAATTGATATTTACTATTTAATACATGTTCTTTTTGGCACATTGTGGACTAGTTTGTCGAATTCAACAGGCTTAATAATCAATAACTGACAGTTCCTAAAAGAATTATCAATCTAATAAGTTTGACGGATGCTGATTAAGAAGTATACATGCAGAAAACACTTAATTGTTTTGAAGAATCAACTATTTCATTAAAACATTATATAAAGCCTGCTTTATCAACAGATTCAGATTTATACATTGTCATTTCCTACTGTAGGTGAAAAAGGGAATCAATCAAAATGCTCGGCATATTTAAGTTGCCGTAGCATGCATCAGTCGTAACTTAGAGTGAATGAGATATTTCAAGTGTACAGCATTTCGGATTAGAAAGAATGTGTATTTTAGTAAATCCTTAAATGTGCAACGCGTAATTTGTCTTTCTTACTTATCTAAGTACCTCATTACCGCAACGATAAGATTTTCTTACAATTAAATACCTTTAGATGACGCAGGAATTCAAATATATTCCTATTACTTCCTCAGCATTACATGGTGTCTCTCTTGACGGAGTTAGGCTGGGTCTTTGACCTGCAAAGTGCTACTTTAAAAGCCACTTATGCCTCTTCAAATTAGGTGTCACGAAAAGAAAAACAGATGCTGATGCCTTTATTTTCTTGTGTTTACTTAGATATGTTACTTTCAATGTTTTACAGGGCCCACCAGGAAAAGATGGGATACCGGGGGCTTCCTTGGATACAGCTGTGTCGGTAATTTTGAAGAACTCTCTACTTACATTCTTAAGTTAAATTTTGAATCTTACTAATCCAAACTAATGGTATTTAATTTTACTATTTAGATTTTACTAAAGAATAAAATTAACTGTATTTTACTTTAAAATTTTGTTACCTGTCTTTTGTTAGGATTTGAATTATTTTGAAATACTTCAGACTTCTCATTTTCAACTCAGTAATATTTCATAATATTGATGATATTTTACTTTTCAATGAATTCATTTAAATTTCATAACTTTGACTAATAAACATAAATAATTTTACTGCGCTTTATTACTATTTTATAAAATATAGCTTTATGAAATAAATTCACAAGTTACTGGGAAGAAATATAAGTTTCTTTCAAATGTGATAAAAAAAGTGAAATTCACTTCTTGGATGCAACTTCAAATTTAAGATTTCATCGCAAGTACACTTTTCTGGACCGGAAGGGCTCAGCATTTTTGACGGGGGTAGAAGAAATATATTTTTGTTTTATATCTGCGATTACTGGCTGTTTAACCTTTATTTAAAAATTGCAACTTGCAACAGCAGGCCACATTAATATATTATTTTAAATTACATATTTTTATTTAAATCAGCAAGGAATGATGTGCAATATAACTTCTTTCATCTAAGAAAATTCCAATACCATTTAGAAACACTTAGAGAAACCTAAGCAGCCACTTTACAGTTCACTAGTTAATTGTATAGTTCACTAGTTAATTGCCTAGAAACACTTAGAGAAACCTAGGCAGCTACTTTAGAGTTCACTAGTTAATTATCTAATCAACTTTTTTTAAATTTAATTTTAATTATTTAAGAAAGATTTATTTTACAGGCTAAGAATAAAATAACACTTTTTTGAACATTTTTCTAAAAATTAGAAGAAAAGAGGATCACATACATCAGACTTTGGATTCTGTATGAAATAATGATAGCCTTTAGATGATAATAAAATCAATGTTTGTTAGTTGGCATATATAATTTTGGGATTGTTTTCATCTTTTTTATATGATATGCCTAGATCAATTATCATAATATATTTCTATAATTAATTCTAGACTGAAATTTCATTGCCATTATTTTTTTAATTTAAATTGGGATAATTAGCATTTATCAATCTTACCATATACTAAAAGTAGTTTTAAAAAAGTTTTAGGGTAATTTTTTATCTTTATTGTAGATTTTTTCCTATGAGGAAATTTCTGTGAAACATTGTGGCTATACATTGAAGTCTGCCCATTAAGTAATCTAATTATCTCGTAAATAACTAATTACATTTAATGAATTTTCATATAGGCAGTTCAAGGACTTCCAGGTGAACAAGGAGAACCAGGTCCGAAAGGAGAACCAGTAATTAATATTAACATGTTATTTTCTAAATCTTTTCTTGCTTTCGTCTTTGCTAATAAGAGCATGTTTTTGCTGACTTTATAATTTTTATAATCATTGTTATTATTATTTTAAACATATGAAAATTAAGCAACATAACATTAATAACATAGTTATTAATTATATAAATTAACTGCGCGTTTATTTCAGGGCGAAAAAGGATCTCGTGGAGACACTGGGTATGAAGGACCACCAGGACCAAAGGTAAGCGAAATCCTATAATATTGCTAACCATAAATACAGAATAATAAATGGCTTATCTACACAGTTCTCTTTTTACATCTGAAAATTAAGGTAGAGAACATATATTTTGCAACACTAAATGCTCAAATTTTAAAGTTTAATAGTTACCCTGTATTTTTTAACATGGCTTTCTTAGCGTTGATTAATGAAATACATATTTAAGGGTATTTACTAGTAGGTTTAGACAACCTGCCCGCTTAACCATTTTCTATACGTGTCGAGTCCTGCAGAACGTCAATCAGTCAATTTCTTTTTAAAATCTTCCACGAAAGCATTTTTGCTCAGCTCTAGCACAACTATCTACTTTGTTGTTATGCTCTACGAAGTGCATTCAAGTTCTAAGGTCTCCAAAGTATTTTTAAAAATCATATTGTTCTTAAATAAAGCTGAAATCATTTGCACTTCTTAACTTAGTCTCCCTGTAGAAAAATTCTTTTTTCCAATGAGGATGCCATGATATTACGACTCTAGCAAATACTTCTTTAAAAGTCTGTTTTGTCCACTGAAAAGTCTCTGGCCTAAAAGAAACATTTGTAAATACAAAATCAAAAAATTGCTAGGCACGAAGTAAGGTTCTGTCTTGGTGTTCAACAAAACTTAGCTAGCTTAATCAAATGAAGGTTTTGAATGGATTCTACAGGATGAACTCTCACCACAATAATTTCTAACTCTAAAATAAACAGATCCAGAATTATGATAACTTTAAATTTATTCCACCTCATCGCTCGTGGGGGTTAGACTAAAAATATACAATACGAGATTATAAGTCATCTGGGTCTGGTCTGAATACAAGCTTCCGTCAAACTGCTATAAATTCAAACAATTTAATCTACTTCTATCAGAGGTTACAAGCTTTGCCTAAGCTAAGACCGCGACAGGGATTCAAAGGTTCAACGTACCAAGATCGAATCTATCTTTGCTGTATAATATTTAGTTCAAGGCTGCGATGGAGTCTTTAATAGAGAACAAAACTATATACATGAACAAAACATACAAACTATGAAGGCAGACCAAAGCTCTCACATGCGTAATTCTTCTAACTGTAGAGTGAAACTGCTTGCCACTCAAATCGAAGTAAATTTTGGAATGAGCAAATCTGGTGGCGAAATGAGGATAATATGAAAGATGTAAGTTAAATAACATTTCGTTACTAAAACTTAAACACAAATGCCGCAAAGTGAGTACAGAGTATGCGCAAACACTCCAATATGTTATCACTGAAAAATTTCTCAACTCAAAACGTTCGCAGTGTCTTGACTGAAAAGCGCAGCTGCAGTCTTTCCGTACAGTATTTATTAGTTTGTTAAGAGAAGTTTATTTTCAAAAGCATCTTCATATATTGAAACCGTCACTCTCGCGCCTATAGGCAATCTCGATCATTTTCTACAATCACGCAATCCTGTTGTCCGACCGCCTGGTATTTGATTTGCTTTTCCTCAACCTTCGCCTTTTTGTTGCACTTATAAAGAGCATTTATTTTCACGTCCATGATAACATCGCTGCGTGTCTCACTCTATTCACGACAGATTTCTATAGGCTCATTCACAGAAGGAGAGAAATTGGGTACTAACGTGTTATTCTTCTAATATAAACATTGTCATCTTAAATGATGAAAAAAATTCGGCCACAAAAAAAAAAAAAAAAAAAAAAAAAAAAAAAAAAAAAAAAGGTCATGTCGTTTCCGTAAACCAAACGGTTCTGTAATCGGATTTATCCTATGCTGGCTCTTTTTGTAACGTATTTGCGTTGCTATGCTACCTACATAATATATATAAGAAATGTAAAGAAACCTCTCGCATAAAATATCCCTGCTTGAAAATGCACTCGCTTAAAATGTTTTTCAGTTGTTCGATAAAATGGCGAGAGTTCTTTAAAACTTCATTATATTTTAATAGAATTCTCATATTTTTGCATGCTTTTATTCCCGGGAACAAAACTGTGAGACTTATAGCTTGAATGTACCTCACAGTCCTGCATGTACATGCTACTTACAGTCCTTCATATTTTAGAAAACAAATGCTCCAGTATTTTAAAGACTTGAGTAACGTCATTAGAACCATGAATGATAGTTTAACTAAAATGTAAATGTTATAAATTTTATAATATAAGAACTGCAAATTAAAATTCACTATTTATACTACTTGATTGAGTGAAACTTAATCCCGGAACTCCAGAGGTATTATTCCTACCTAAAGTCTTATAGCATATCTTTGCACGAGATCTCGATAAAATGATGCATTGGAAAAGCAGGAAAAAGGTATAAGGGAACTTCGCAGGAAATGGGAATAGTTTTGAAAACTACTTAATTTTTAAACCATAGTCTTATAGCACATCTTTACAGGAGGTCTCGATAAAGTGATGCATTGCAAAAGCAGGAAAAAGGTATAAGGGAACTTCGGAGAAAGTGAAAATAGTTTTGAAAACTACTTAATTTTTCTAAATTATCTTTTCCTTTATCTCTGTTTAATATTTATTCGTAACAAAGAATTTACTTTTGTAATGATAAAAATTAACTTTTTACTCTCTTTATTAAACTGATTATTTAAAACATGCAAGAAATTGCAGCTAATTTTTATACTTTATGTAAAGCTTCTTTCCTTCCCCCTGTTTCCACAGCTGGCTTCCCTTTCTCAGAACTATGAAATACAAACTTCTCAAAGCATCAGTTTCTTTGAACGTAATAATCGGAACTATACAGGGCGAAAGATTATTATTTTAGTAACTTAGGCTTTTCACGACTATATCGTCAGAAAGTTTTCCTGCTCGAAACAGCGCAAATGTATGTACTGCACATGTATTTGCACGGCGTTAAAACGCAACTGCGTGATATGTTATTTGGAATGTCATGAATACTTTGCATGTTGATAACCTTCACACGTGCATGTGATAGAAATACGCAGCTCAGACAAAATGTTGACTGAAAACATGAAAATATAGGTTTCTATATTTATTTGCTAAGGTGTACTTTGACTAATTTTTAATTAACTCAAATGGGAACCAGAACTAGAAATAACATCTGACTATCTAAAAGTAGTCTTTAAATAAAAATTACATCTAAAATATTTTTGCTACGAGTTTGCACTTAATGTTTATGAGTTACTAGATCTGCAGGAGTTTGACATATGTTTTAAAGTAAAAACTATGTTGCTGAAATTAATGCACATGGATTTTCGAAGAATCAATAGAACTAAAGAAATGGAAAGAAGATAAAAAGCATTGTGAAAAAGAATTGGTAAATGATGTTTTCATATAAAATAATTATTAGTTACTACAAGTCACCGCTGAAAGGAATTGTAGCACACAGAATGAAAACCTTCGTGCAGGAATTAAAGGTAGAAGGGTGGAAATTCCTATTTTGAGATATCTCCTATGCGGATAAATTATAGTTTTCAACGTTTCTTAATTGCATGCCAGCACGTTCTTCGTGCACTTTGAATCATTCTACAGTTCCTGTCTAAAAATGTGAAGATTTCCGTGCTCTTAACTCTAATTTTCCAATCTTTTTCACACGAAACATGGTTTATTTGTATCGGTGAAAGTTTTTTCTCTCTCACCTCTTTGTAACAGCCAGTACTTGAGAACGGTTTTTATCCAAGCCTCTGAACGATTGAGATTTTAGCAATGCCTTGTACATTTTCAGGAAGCTTTTTTTTTAATCTACCAGCACTCTTCATGAGTTAAAATCTTGTTACAATAATTGATTACAATTAATACCAAAATTACATAAATAACATTTTTAAAATTTTATTTCTACAACACCATTTTTTAAAATTCTTTTCTGAAGGATAATTATTTAACTTGTTACTAACAGATAAGGTCTAGAAAATACTCTATTTGCATATTTAGTCAACTTATTATACCATTAAACTAGACTGAAAAAAGTGGAAATTTCTATTGATGTGTCATTTATATAAACATAAGACGAGTTTTCAGTCCCAGAAGTAAAATGACGGTTTCAAAGGATGGAACATTGGTTAAGACAAGACTATTCAAGATTGTTATTCAAATTTGTGTTCAATTAGCTAAAACGAATACTAAGTACCAAACATTAAAAATTTCTGCGACTAGTTTATTAATAAAATGTGAATAACTGTAGTCAAAATGATATGTTGCCTTTACAAGAACTTAAAATTGCGTAGCTAAACATAACCATATATAATTATGTGCAAGAGATGTAAGAAAAGCAGCGAAGTGTAATTCTAAATTAGCGTAGCTTTAAAGAAAAGTTTTTTTGTATTTGAAGTATTTTTTATTCTGTTTGTCCATCAAGAAGAAAAATTATTCTGATCCCTGCTGCGAAGTTTTGTTGTTTAAATAAGCGAAACTAATCAAAGAAAATGAAGATTGTTATAATAGTGGCTTCATCTCGAGCAAAATGGGGGGGAAGAAGTTATGAACCTTATTTCACTTAAATACATAGATTTAGAAATAAAACTAACCAATAACTTTTGATTATTTTGCAATGCATCGCGACAATTTAACCCTCTAGCTGAAGAATTTTATGGATAGTTTAATAGGTGAAGATATCAAAGAGTGGTCAAGGGATCAGAAATGTGTAGTTTTAAGCAATGTAATAATTTCTAACCGAGGGTAGTCAAACGTCTGGGACGCCTAGTCTAACTGTTTCCGAAAATGCCAAACAATATATTTACTGCTGAATAATTTAATGTTGACATCATGGAATATAATATAATAATTCTGCCTAGTAGAAAATTCGTAAATAAAAACTACTCAAGAACTTGAAATTTAAATGAGATACTCTGTCAATTACGCTATTATACCGCAAGCAACTGGTCTTTAATATTTAAAATCGCCCATGTACTTCATTTCTTATTAATTATGAGACTTATCCTTCCTCCTACCCCCGTAAGTCAGAATGTTGATTCTGTGATTCGAAAAAAAAAAGTACTAGACAGTTTCAGTGTTGAAACAATAAGTGTTTGTTTAATTGACAGTAATTGTTTCATAGTCTTGAGGGAAGTAATAGAATTGTGCCCGATAAACTTGTGAAAATAAGAGAAAAATTACTTATCACTTTTACTTGATAATATAAACACAAAAGATTTACAATAAAATTGTAATTAATTTTTATAAATGTGTAATTTAAATAAAGAATGAGGAACATGAAAGCTATTTTATTGCACTCGGTAAGTTCTAACATCCACGCTCGAATAAGTCGAAATTTTAAAAAAAAATAGGAAGAAGAATTTTTTTCCCTGCTGCTCATGAGCAACTGGCCTTCTTAAAATATGTTTAGGTTTCCCATACTTAAATATGTGACTAATTCAATATTACTTTGCGTGAAAGTTATTAAATGTTGAATTCGTATAAATATGTGAGTAATTAAATATTGCTTTACTTAAAATTTATTAAATGTGGAATTCGTATTGTCACTTATGTTATTATCATGAATTATTCTGTTCGATTAGGAAATTAAAATACGTGCAAAAAACTTAGCAAAATGCGTTAACCACAAAGTCATATTCTCTTTATTTTTTTCTTTATTGTTCTAAAATTTCGTTTGTTGTTTGAAGCACATTCTTACCACCATTCACTCAAAAAGCATAAAAGATTGGTTATTTTTGTGCTAGTCTGCAATGCAATTAAAAAAGAAACACGAAAAGATAACTGAAATAAAAGAATTAGTCTTTCTACTTTCATAAAAGTTTACAATAAGTAATATACATCCTCGTATAAATTTCAGTGAAGATTTAAATTATAAGGATATTTAGTCTCTTGCAAATAAACATTCATTAGATGAATAATCAAATATAAAAGGATTTTGGATCTTCAATGAAAATTAAACTACTGGTTAATTATTGCTGAGTGAATTATCAAATGTGTGCGTGTGTGATTATGGCAAAGCCTCGAGGGCTATCTGCCTAAGGGGAGGGATGCCTTCGTGGAGGACTTACTAAGGGAAACTGGCTCGTATACACGTTACACATGGGGAAAACCACGAAAACGCCCATGCAGCCAGCCCGTTCGCGGGATTCGAGCCTCGGACCGAACTACCAGTGTTCAGTGACTTTACCGCTCGGCCGCTGGTGGGCCTGAATTATCAAATAACAAAAATATTTTGAGTATTATTTCTGATAAATATTAATCTGTAATATTCAAATGATATTCAATAATCCGTAACATTCGAATGGTTTTTTGTTCCTTTTCATTTAGATAAAATAAAAGGAAAAAAATATCTCTTTGTCAGAAATGTGTTTTACCATGTATTTACCTCAGCACGAAAAATTTTAATTACATTCATTTCCAGTTTGTCTCTAAATTTCTTACCCTTAAAAATTTGAAACACTACCTTATGTAACTTAACTGCCTTTGAAATACAGGTAATCTAATAAAGTGTAAAGGAAGTAACAGAAATCCGGACAAAACTTTGTTTTCATTTTCATTTTAATACTACCATCTCCAGTTCTCGTTATTCCATTAATGGCATAAAATAATGATGTGACAAATTTCTGTTTAACGTATTGGTGAAAATAATTCGAAGTGAAACTTCATGACCCGTAAATTGATTTATTTTTATTTATCTGATGTAGGGAGACAAAGGTGAGAGAGGGGAAACAGGTTTCCCTGGCGTCGACGGAACAAAGGTAAATGGTTTACGACGTTACTTTATTTGTGTAAATAAATTACTATCAATCTTAATGTAAAAGACCAGAACGGATTGTATTTATTCTTGAGTCATGATCATTCACTTTGTGTAGGGCGAGAAAGGAGATGTTGGAAGAGCAGGAGAACCTGGACCTCAAGGTGAAAGAGTAAGTCACTTTCCATGTATTCGTTTGCGCAAAGTATTATGTATGAATGTATAGATTTGAATATGTAAATGAATTTGCTCAGCCTAACTCATTACGCGTTAAGTAAAATTAGTAATAAGAAGTAAAATTCACCAAAAGAAATAAAATGTAAGAGATACACATTCAAATAAACCTAGTTATTTAAATATAATTTGCAAATTTATCAAATGCAACACCAAATTTATGCAAAAGCGAATCGCTTGGAAACTTTATTATTAAATGCAATAAATGTCAAGCAGTCATCTTTTATAGTTTAAATTAGCTATGAAAGTTAATAATTTCTCTCTGAATTTAGATTCTGATTGTACTTTTTGTTTACTATTAGGGAATAGAATTCATCAAGAATTCACCTGTAAATAACCTTCATTGCGCTCGCTTGATAATTAATCGCATTAGCAGTAACTTTTAAGGAGATGCTGTTATAACATTTTATAGCAATAAAAGAAAGAACAATTTAATTTCCCAAATAGCAGAAATTGTTAATGTTAAGTGATGTAATTTTAGAATAAGATCTTTTATAATATTAACGAGATTGAGTTTATTAAAAGGCAACTATATAAGTAAATAAATATCATAAATGAAGAAATTACAGTTACGAAATGCAGTGAGGTAAAGGTTATAATTAATTTAGAAAATTCATTCTTGGGACAATAAAAGTATTAAAAATAACTCGAGGTTATTAATATTCATCTGATATCATTAAAATGTCGAAACAAAACCAAACACTTGAATTTTAATTTTCAGTAAGTCTTTGATCACGCCTGCTTTTGAGAACTGATTTCTCTGTAACTATATTTTTTCCTTTTATCTTGAGGTATATCAGTTAAATTTTGTAATTAGGTTAATTCTGCATTTTCAAAGCTAGAGTTAATATTAGTTTGTAAAGTTCTTGGTTAATTGTTCTGCGTCTTTTGATTAGTAACTGACTGAATACAATTTCATCCACGTAACACATGTGGGGTTCTATGTGATGTACAAATATAAGGAAATTTTTTATATAATTTTTTATTTTATATTTATTTTTTTTTTATTTTTTTTTATATTTATATATAAGGTTTTGATGGAAAAAAAGTGTAGTTCTAATTTTGTATTGCAATTGTGCTTCGTCTAATCTGGTAATTTAAAAATAGCACCTTCTCAAGAAATTGCATCTCACTTTCATAAATAATTATCACCAAAATTATATAATGATGAATAAAATATAAACGATGCCTCCCTAATTAACCTTTTTAATCAATCATCAATTTGCATGCAATTTACTCGTCTGTTTATACTGAGTTTGTTAATGATTGTTCAAGAAATTGCTTAGTAAGAGAAGTTAGAGACGCTTAGAGTACGAGGACTCTGATTTAATGTATGCATTTTTTTACTGCGTTCATGTTTTTAACATATGTAGCCACTTGTTCCAAAGTTTAAATTTCTGAAGTCAATGTGTGATAGCTCCACTTACTTTTGGGGGGGGAGTTTTCTAAAAGAGTAAATAATATTTAAACAGTTGAAAATTTCCTTGCGCTGTGCGTATATTTATAATTTTTATTTATCCATGATGTGAAATCTAAACTGCGGGGAGTTAATTCATTTTACTAGCGAGTTCTAAGTTAAATACCCTGAGTAAACCCTGTGTAAATATGAAATTACAACATACAGTACCGTTTGTTGAAATTTGTGTAAATGAAGGTCATGGAGCATTATTACTTTGTAGAGACATTAGGTTAATTGGAAAAGCCGGAGAGATGAAAAATTAGCAACGCCTTCGCTGGGAATCAAACCACGGACCTCTGGAATACCGGCTTAGCGTGCAGAACCACTACAACCACGAAGGCACGCCAGGAAAGCGGGAAAACTACCTGATATACTCCCCTTTTTTAAAGGGCGACTGGGGTTTTTAGGGGACCCAATCGCATTCAAATTACTTCGCATTCATATCCTTTGTGTGAAGAACCATCATCCAACATCCTTTTAGTTCGGGCGACACTGTAGAGACATGATGTATATTTTTTAGAAGCAGGCAAGATGAAAAATGAGCAATCGCCTTCGCCGGGAATCGAACCACGGACCTCTGGAATACCTGCCCAGCGTGCAGAGCCACTACACCACGAAGGCACGCTTGGAAGGCGGGAGAAACGCCTTACATACTCCCCCTTTTAAAAGGCGACTGGCGTTTTTAGGGACCCAATCGCCAAATCCTGGGTATGGAGAATCATCATCCAACACCCTTTTAGTTCGGGCGCCACTGCAGAGACATTAGGTATTTTTCGAGGCCGGAGAGATGAAAAATATGCGACACCTTCACCGGGAACCGAACCACGGACCTCTCAATTACGCGCTGAGCGTGCAGAGCCACTACACCACGAAGACAAGCTAGGAAGGCGGGAGAAATACCTTATAACTTGTAAATACTGAGTTTCCTATAGTTCTTGTTTGCGAACCCTTTCGAGTGGATTATTTGACGTTTCACCCGCATCTGGGGAAAAATGGACTTTTGAAAAAAAAATAGTTTAATTTCTTACGAGCAGTTCAATTACTTTATGAAAATTGCTTAAAACTCGTCTTTGTAAGCAATGTACGCATCTAATGAGCCTCAAGAAGCGGCGCATAACCGGCCTACCGGAGGGTGTTTGGTAAACTAGGACTAATGAGTGTAATTGACTCATTTGAATATAAATCCTAGGTGCTTCTAAAGGAGTTCTGTCGCTTTAGAGGAGCGGTCAACTCGTCACTCAGCATACGATTTCTAATCCTTGCGAAAGGTTGTATGCGCAGGATCTTGCTCAACCATTGCCACTTCGCAACAAACTAACTTCTCCTGAGTTTGCCTAAGTAACTTGAAATGCGTTGAAATGCAGTATGTTCTTCAGTCATCTTGAGCTATGAAATCTGCTTTTGAAGGTTCGACGATAAAAAAATACGCAAAAGCAGAAAAAGAAAAACATGTATTGAATGAAACACGGTTCGGACATATACTATCCATTCTTCTTTGATACTTAAGGATGTCAGTGTAATAGCTGCTTAATATGTTCAGAAAATTTTAATACATGAAGTACTCCATTTTATTGAATGGTCTGGGCCTTATTGGACACTTCACGTTCACATTCTGAAACATCTCGCAAGAATGTCTACAAAGTACTATCGTGTTATGATGGTTTACCAGATCTTCAGACTTGTCGCCAATTGAAAAATCGGAGTTTTCTATAGGTTCATTCAAAATCTTTTCAGGGAATTACAAACCTATTTCCAACGGGGTAGTGAGCAGTATCTCAGACAATATTCCATACTTTTACACTCCAGTGTCATGACGGGCAATGAAATTGATTGTTAACAATGGTGAAGCCACTTCTTTTTGGTGTGGCAAAGTGTGTGGCAACTGTTTTGGTTTGGTCTCTTTTCAGCTAATAATAGATTATTTTGTCCCGAAAATCGTACCGTATCCTACTTGCTATTACATTCACAACTTTAAGGAACATCTCAGTAATATAATGTCAATTCTAGTCGGCATAAAATAGTTGTGTAGTAGATAACTTTAAACGGTGCATGAAATCAATAAGATTTTAACAGAAAAAGTATTTAATGAGTATAACTATTTAATAGTTACATAATAATGTTTGATTAAGAGATTTAATTTGATTAAGAGTTTGATTATTTTTGTAGGGAATTCCTGGTGTTGCTGGCCTAAGAGGAGAACCAGGTCTCGTCGGTTTCCCGGTAAGTTTTATAGTAACATCTTTTAAAGTAATTTTAATTTGCTGCTTTAGGAAAATAAAGTCACAAACTAACTCAATTGTATTGCTCTAATTTCCTTAGGGACCTGCTGGACCTGCAGGAATTCCAGGCCAACCTGGACTTAAAGGTGACAAGGTAAAATTACACCAGATAGTATATTAAGAATTTATCCGCATTGCTCATTATATTCCTAGCATAAGCACTGAAAACATAAACAGTATTTAAACCAAACTAGTAATGATGCTGACCTCCTTTAATACCAACAGCCTTGCTGATCATTAACTAGTGTCCTGGAAAAGCGGAGGTATTGGCGCACAGACTGTCAGAAAGCGATTATTGTTCACCACTCTTATTTTCTAAGAGAAGTCTAAAGTTAATATTACTTTCCCAGTTAGCTCCATAAGATTTCAATTTATTTAATCAAGCAATCCAAGATCCCCCTGCTGCATTATAAATTCATACCAGTTGTCTACTATTGGGTTGTCATTCATAATGATACTCGACAACAATTTATTATTGAAAGACGACATCGTTGAAGGTTTATTTACTGACTTATTTTATGAAAGAAAATAAGTCAGTAAATTATGATATACTCTTTATTATATATGAGTCTTATGATGAGATTCCATCTCATCATAAGAGTATTCCATCTTTATGATAAGATTCCATCTTTCATAAAATAAGACTATGAGTCTTATTTTATGAAAGATCGCCGAAGTTTTTTTTATAGCTTGAGCTAATGGCAAGAATGTCCATGGGTACGAGAGATCACAAAGAATTACTTATAAATCTTTTTCAAAATGTTATGCTATCTCTATCTGTCCACATTTCTCAGGTTTTAAAAGGAAATCTAAAGCTTCATTAACTTTTTGTTGCCTTATGTACTCATGAATTATCCCATATCAATGGCAAAATCAAAACTGCGATTCTTCGATCCAGCTGATATACTTTCAATAAGTTGCTATCTAGTTAAGGTAGGCTCTTACCGTTGAAGCCTAATATTTCGTTTTCTCTTTGTCTACTAGTCGTAGCAGAATGTTGTGTACCATAGGCCCTTTCGCGGTAGTATGTCAAATAATCTTATGCTTAAGTTAAGAGAAGAGTCAACATTAATTTCCGATGTAATGTTTTCCAAGGTTGTTTCTTCAAATAATGCTGATAGTTTGCATTCATCTCGGAAATATACATATATACAGTTTCATTTTCCTTTTGATTAAAGATTAACTATGTGTGAAGAAGAAATAGTATAAATATTTAACATACTCAAACACTACAGAAATAAAATCGATGGCTTTTTGCCCCGTAGGATTTGTGATCTCTGTTTGTGAAATTCATGATTATATTCTTCGGGTACATGATTTGATACTGATGAACAGCATTACACTACTACGGTGTTCATAATAATTGTTTGCATTTATAGTGTATATTTTCAAACGCAAAGTATATTTCATTTGCTATCGAAAATTATCGAATAATCATCATTCATGCAATAAAATAATTAAAACAATAACTGTTGTTACAGCAAAGTAAATTTGCAATATATTATTTTCATGCATAAATTTGCTTTTGGTTAACAGTATATTTAATTATATAGGGAGCTCAAGGGGAACCAGGAATACCCGGTGAAGTAGCTCAAGCTGGTGATGCGGTAAGCTAATGCTCTATAGTATTTTAAAACTAACTGTTAGTGTTACAATGGACAAAGTCTGAAAATTTATTAATTTGAAAATTCCCAATATATTGTGCAATGAATGTTGTTTAATTTATTCCATAATCTGGAAACCAGCTTAAAAACTTTATTGCATCCAAGGCTAGTCGTAAGATGTTCCTAAATTTACAAATGTGTTTTAATATTCTTGAAATTAGTAAGGATTGAAATATTTCTAGAAAATATTTTGATTTTTTAGACTAAATCGTTAGAAATTTCTTAAATATGTAGATTCTTTAGAATAAGCTGTGAAGTGTATATTGTTTTGACTAATAGCTATTTTAATTTGTTAGCATTTTCCGTCATTTCTTGTTTATTTCGCTTTCCCTCGCCAGGATGTGAATGAGTTAAGTTGAACGAGTGTGTATTTAAACTGAAATAGTGGAAAAATTTTGTTTCGCTAGTGAGTGCGCACGTTGTTCTTTCTATCAGCTGTTTGAATTATGAATCTCGACTTTGCATTCTTGCCACCGAAGTTTAACATTACACCGGTGTAGGTTTCTGAATCAACCTGCTAGGTTAAATTAATTTGTGTGGTCTTCAACAACTAGCTCATCTTTAAAGGTAGTTAGCTTACTATTATCTTTAGTTTTATCGCCACAAGTAGATGGTACATTTGTAAGCACAAAGACTGGGCCGTCTGTAAATAAATGGTTCAATAAAAGGGTCTTTTACACACTCCCACTGCTGTATTCATCTTAGCGATAAGTCGTTAATAGATTTTCAAGTAGGTCTAGTAGCAGTTTATGCTAGCTAAGAAAACTAGATCTTACAAAGTAACTAAAATAAATAATTTAAATAATTATTACAAATGTATGTTTTTCTTTCAGTTTTGGCTTACTAATGCCTAAGCCAAAATTAAAAAAAAAAACATTTTAATCATGTTTAATGATAAAAAACAGAATTTAAAATTTTACACATATTTACCCAAACTTCATCCATTTGAGAAGGAACAGATAGACAGCGTTGCTTTCGATAACATAAAATATCAGTTTAGGCTCAATTCTTGTGAAAAAACTATTTTTATAAGTACTGTTACAATGGACAAAGTTCGAGGAATTGAAATAAGTACAAAATGCTGCTGATTGTACTAAACGTTTACCAGTGACAACTGATCCCTGTCACACGATTGCCACTTTCTTTAAGTTTAAGAGATTAAATATTAGATTTTGAAAATATAACATCATGTAACTGAGATTGTAACTATCTAGGGTGTTTAAAATATTTTTAATGGTTTCCTTATCTTGCCATATGATTATTTACCCATAAATACATACTGTGTGCCTATTTTTTTGCAAAAGCTGTCCATGAGCTCTGTTAATAACCTACTACTAAGTCATAAGCTACTGTTCTGCTAAAAGGGTTTCCTTTGTTGCATGATTATTAGTTTTATGATTCTAATCATACGTTGTAACATGATAACCCAAGATAGTCTCTTTCAAGTACTTCATAGAAATGGCAGAGTGGATCACAGATAACATCGCAGGTGGCTAGAGGTTTTTTTTCTTTTAGATATCTCTCTTCAAACTCATTAAGGCTTTAGTAAATTTTTAAATGGACGACAAATATAGTACATACAAAGTCACAAAAGCAATTAGTTTTCTATTACAGTTATTCGTTGACAGGTTTTTATCCAGTATAACGGTCTTCATGGTTAAACTGAGGTTTTGCAGTTATTTTTAGGAACCGTTTATCTTTTCTTGTAATCTGTGATTTATCTCCTGTTCTCATTTTGTATGTTTGGTTCAAGGACGGTAAGAAGTTGCACTTTATGAACAAAGTAACTGGATTAGTAATTATCCATCTTAATAAAACTAGGAAAAGATATTTAATTTTTTTTTTGGAATTAATTGGCAAATAACTCATTCTGACAATGTGATGTGATTAATAATAAATCAGTAAATCCTTACTTGTGCATTTATATTAACATTCATAATACATTTATGTTAACCTCCTCCATTTAAATTAAATTTTTACTTAAAATGAATTCTATGTCTAAATTAAAGCAAGTAATTAAGACACAATAACACGCCGAATAAATACTAATTCAGAAGTCAAACAACAAAAATCAGCGTTATATTTACCAAATTTTCACAGGACTAGTTTCGATGGTTTTACCGAACCACCATCTTCAGCTGCAAAACCGCAAATGAACCAGATAGGAAATAATGATTAGATAAGATAAGAAAGCCTGAACAAGAATAAGCAAGTGGCGCCATCTGTTGGTAAAACCAGAACTAAAACATAATTTCTTTAAAGGCCGAAGGCAAATTTGGATTGGAATTAGGATCGTTAACTAGGACAGAAAGATTTTTATGAATGTGAAATGCCTCTAGAAAATCCAGTTCTCCAATGGAAGATGTTTTTTGAATAATTTTGGCAGCAGAAAAACTGAAAGTGTGGTTTTCGGACCAACAATGTTGAGCAACAGAAGACTTCTGTGTTTCCTTTTTCTAACATATGCCTCATGTTCCTTGACGCGAAATTTTAAGGCTCTTTTAGTTTGGCCAATGTAAATTAAACCACACTGGCAAGGAATCCTATAAATACCCCAGGAATTCATATCCGGAATGGGGTCCTTGAGTCTGGAACTCGGAATTTTATTGATGGGAGAATAAACAACCCGAAAGTTAAATTTCTGCAAAATATGTGCAACTTTATAGCTAATTGATGGAAAGAAGGGAATGACAACAGAATTTTTATAATCTCCTAAAACAAGAGTGTGCCTTTTAGTGTGTTGAGATGAGAATTTTTTAACTGCTTGATTAATAATGTTGAGTGAAAAGCCCCTGTCAATAGCTATTGCTTTTAAATAATTTAGTTCTTCATCAAGGGCTAGTTTGGAGGAGCAAACTTGAAGAGCACGGAAAACATAGGAATAAAATGAAGCTAACTTTTGTTTAGTCGGATGACATGATTTAAAGTGTGGTGGAAGGCAAACCGATGAAGGTTTACGGTAAACCGTAGTACTGAAGTTGGATGTGTTACGTGTGACCAGAATGTCGAGAAACGGAAGAGAATTGCAAGTCTCAAGTTCAAAAGTGAACTGAATAGCAGGATCAATAGAATTCATTGTTGAAAGAACTTTATTTAAATCATCTTTATTACCTTCAAACAGAGTAAAAGTATCGTCTACGTAGCGGAACCATGCCGGGAAGTTTAAAGTTTCAAACAATTTTGATTCATAATAATGCATGTAGATATCAGCCAGGATGGGACTGAGGGGGCTTCCCATGGCTAATCCCTCAGTTTGCTTGTAATATTTATTTTGGAAAACAAAATGTGTTTGTTTCAAACAGAGTTGAGTGAGAGAAATTAGCTCATCAATTTCGATGCAAGAGAAATGAAATTCGCGAAGTGAGTAAAATTACTCATGGTTTCTTTTGATGTAAAATCCTTATTCACCAATGTCCCAGTGGAGGGTGCATTAAGATGTCTAGAAACCAGACTTCGCTAACAAAAGTTAGCTTCATTTTATTCCTATGTTTTCCGTGCTCTTCAAGTTTGCTCCTCCAAACTAGCCCTTGATGAAGAACTAAATTATTTAAAAGCAATAGCTATTGACAGGGGCTTTCCACTCAACATTATTAATCAAGCAGTTAAAAAATTCTCATCTCAACACACTAAAAGGCACACTCTTGTTTTAGGAGATTATAAAAATTCTGTTGTCATTCCCTTCTTTCCATCAATTAGCTATAAAGTTGCACATATTTTGCAGAAATTTAACTTTCGGGTTGTTTATTCTCCCCATCAATAAAATTCCGAGTTCCCAGACTCAAGGACCCCATTCCGGATATGAATTCCTGGGGTATTTATAGGATTCCTTGCCAGTGTGGTTTAATTTACATTGGCCAAACTAAAAGAGCCTTAAAATTTCGCGTCAAGGAACATGAGGCATATGTTAGAAAAAAGGAAACACAGAAGTCTTCTGTTGCTCAACATTGTTGGTCCGAAAACCACACTTTCAGTTTTTCTGCTGCCAAAATTATTCAAAAAACATCTTCCATTGGAGAACTGGATTTTCTAGAGGCATTTCACATTCATAAAAATCTTTCTGTCCTAGTTAACGATCCTAATTCCAATCCAAATTTGCCTTCGGCCTTTAAAGAAATTATGTTTTAGTTCTGGTTTTACCAACAGATGGCGCCACTTGCTTATTCTTGTTCAGGCTTTCTTATCTTATCTAATCATTATTTCCTATCTGGTTCATTTGCGGTTTTGCAGCTGAAGATGGTGGTTCGGTAAAACCATCGAAACTAGTCCTGTGAAAATTTGGTAAATATAACGCTGATTTTTGTTGTTTGACTTCTGAATTAAAGCAAGTAGTTAAATTCAGTAAGGTCAGGAAAAGACTATAAATTTAAATTTTTCCTCTAACAAAATACGTTGGAATTGGAATGTTAAATATTTTTCGTTCCATTCAGTAGGTCATGAATTCGACGAAAGATTAAGTGGCTTGGAATCTGCCTTAAGAATCTAACTCTAGTAAGATCTCACATGGAAAACAATGGCTTTAGAATATCAAATTAAACATTCTTGAATAAGACACAGCTATAAATTACGTCTTTTTAAAAAATTCGCATCCTGTTTCTTTTCATTACTAACCAAATAATCTTATTTCTTCAGATTTTGATTTTGAATTCGATTTTACCAGACTGAAATGCAGAAATATATTTTGAGTTTCATTTTCTATGGATAATGTGTCGGAGAAATGATATCAGTATATGAGCGTATAATTTTTATTTAAATGACCGACAATTTTCATCTCTATTCTTTCCTAGCCTTTCTGTTTTCCACCAATTTTCATCTCTATTCTTTCCTAGCCTTTCTGTTTTCCAATTTTCATCAGACTACAAATCAGGTAGAGTTCAAATAGTGCGTGCAGCTTTTTAAATGAGTTTCGATTGCAACATTTTAGTAGCTATTTATCTACTGATAGCACCTTTTTTAGGTGGGCTACTATTGCAGCTTTTGTATGTGATATCAGAGTTTGTTAAGGGTTCATACTGTTACTGTGTTGGCATTCTGACAAATTTAATTTTTCTAAACCATTTAGTTAAATACTTGATTTCATTCTAATCCCGTCAAGTAATGTAGATTTTTTTAAATCTGCACTGTCTGCGAGTTGTATCAACAAATATTTTACTTGCATCATATCTAATAGTTGATTATGAAGTTACAGTGCAGATCAATTTTGATGTGATGATTATAATTCGCTCAAACAAGATAGTAGTTGTATAAGAATTGGAGCAAGTTTGAATAGTTAGTATCAAAATTAGTTGAGCCAACTTTATAGATTCAGCTTCATGGGACCTTTTCCAAAGACATCTTTGAATCTCATTTCTATATATAAGTGAATTTTTATAAATTAAATATGCATGCCGTTCAGGAATAAAATATCTAATAGTAGTTGATTGTGAAGTTACAGCGCAGATCAATTTAGTTGTGATGATGATAATTCGCTCAAACAAGATAGTAGTTGTATAAGAATTGAAACAAGTTTGAGTAGTTAGTATCAAAATTATTTCTCATTTCTATACATAAGTGAAATTTTATAAATTAAATATGCATGCCGTTCAGAAATGAAGTATCATCTAAATGCTATGAAAAGATTCATATATTATTTAGAAAAAAGAGAATTGTTTATGTAATGCACAGAATTTAGTTTACTTAGCTTTTAACTTGTCAAAATTATTTAGGGTCCCCCAGGACCTCCTGGACCACAAGGAGAAAGTGGGAATGATGGCTTGAAAGTAAGTAAATATTTAATGCTATAAACTGTCCCATTTTTACTATCTCATTTTTTTTTTAGAATTGTATTATAAAACCAAAATCTAGCTTTTATAATTCCACATTATATATGATAAATTTTAGGGGTATTAACCGATCATTGTTTTGAGAAACAAGTTCAATAAATAAAAAAAATAAAAATTTAGTGTTATTTAATATCATAACACTAAATTTTCACTTTTGCTGTCCAATCACTTATAAGAATAAAGTACAAAGAGTTATCTTAAAAGTACGAGAAATTAAAACCAGGTAGCTGTATAATTCTTTTAAAGATGTTTAAAATTTTTAAAGAATAATCTACTCATGAAACAAAGACGCATGATAAATTTGGTTTTTAATAATGATAATTTGATTTTAATGTGCATTGCTATGTGAAATCGCAGTCAACTCAGCAGATACGTAGTGCAAAGGATCGTTAGGATCGCGATTTATGCCTTTTCTATACATTATAACAGCTTCCGGTATAAGAACTAGTCCATTGAGCTATCTGCTTTGGTTGCATTTACTGAAGCAATTTACTGCGGCTGTGGGGTATACTTTCCTAATTGTTTTCTCGGTGTTCGCACTGTTTAAGTTTTATCCTTACCTGTAAAGTTAATACTGTTTCTCCTGCTTATTAGACGGATTAAAGAGATAAGACGCAGTATTAGCTAAGTAGGTAGTATTAAGCATTCAAGTAGGAAATCGCGCTTCATAAAGCAGAATACGCTCTTCCGTGTGAAGCTAAAATATTTTTTACTGCATAATGCAAAACATCACTTTTATAAATTTAATATAGACAGAATCATTTGAAATTGCAAATATCATAGTTAATTAGAGAAAGCTTTGCACATTGTCCTTTAGTTTGCAGTTTAGAACTGATCGGTTTCTGTACTATGAACACTCATTTTATTCCTTTTGAGGCATGTTTAACACTTAAACTATAGGTCAAATAAATAATTCCACGATCCTCACGTTTTTGCATTATTTTCAGTATCTTCGTAATCTATGCAATATGTTAGTTTAATTCATTCATGTTTAATTATTTAAACCGTAAATTCTAATTTGTGTCTATTGTTAAATATTTTGGGATCTAATGCGGTCTGTGTACAGATCTTTTTCCAAACTTAAATAATCTGTATACGTCATTCTATTACATTTCTTGTATTAGTTGGTAATTTTACTAATTGAAAATTTCTGAACCTCTATTTTATTAAGTTAAGTAAGGTACACACACAATTTGCAAAAAGTAGAGTAAATATGACTTTTCAAGATGTTTTCGAATAATAAAGAATTTTTAGCCTTCCTAAAGTAAGGTAAGTGATCAACAAATATTATGAAACAACGTTTTATATGTTCAGATAATAAATATTTATAATTATATTTAATTTTATAAGTAGCTTTTATTCGCACGGTTTAAGTTTTATTCTTACCTGTAAAGTTAATACTGTTTCTCCTGCTTATTAGACGGATTAAAGAGATAAGACGCAGTATTAGCTAAGTAGGTAGTATTAAGCATTCAAGTAGGAAATCGCGCTTCATAATGCAGAATACTCTCTTCCGTGTGATGCTGAAATATTTTTTACTGCAGAATGCAAAACATCACTTTTATAAATTTAATATAGACAGAATCATTTGAAATTGCAAATATCATAGTTAATTAGAGAAAGCTTTGCACATTGTCCTTTACTTTGCAGTTTAGAACTCATCGGTTTCTGTACTATGAACACTCATTTTATTCCTTTTGAGGCATGTTTAACACTTAAACTATAGGTCAAATAAATAATTCCACGATCCTTACGTTTTCGCATTATTTTCAGTATCTTCGTAGTCTATGCAATATGTTAGTTTAATTCATTCATGTTTAATTACTTAAACCGTAAATTCTAATTTGGGTCTATTGTTAAATATTTTGGGATCTCATGGGGTCTGTGTACAGATATTTTTCCAAACTTAAATAATCTGTATACGTCATTCTATTACATTTCTTGTATTAGTTGTTGATTTTACTAACTGAAAATTTATGAACCTCTATTTTATTGAGTTAAGTAAGGTACACACACAATTTGCAAAAAGTAGAGTAAATATGACTTTTCAAGATGTTTTCTAATAATAAAGAATTTTTAGCCTTCCTAAAGTAAGGTAAGTGATCAACAAATATTATGAAACAACGTTTTATATGTTCAGATAATAAATATTTATAATTATATTTAATTTTATAAGTAGCTTTTATTCGCACGGTTTAAGTTTTATTCTTACCTGTAAAGTTAATACTGTTTCTCCTGCTTATTAGACAGATTAAAGAGATAAGACGCAGTATTAGCTAAGTAGGTAGTATTAAGCATTCAAGTAGCAAATCGCGCTTCATAATGCAGAATACGCTCTTCCGTGTGATGCTGAAATATGTTTTACTGCATAATGCAAAACATCACTTTTATAAATTTAATATAGACAGAATCATTTGAAATTGCAAATATCATAGTTAATTAGAGAATGCTTTGCACATTGTCCTTTAGTTTGCAGTTTAGAACTGATCGGTTTCTGTACTATGAACACTCATTTTATTCCTTTTGAGGCATGTTTAACACTTACTATAGGTCAAAAAAATAATTCCACGATCCTTACGTTTTCGCATTATTTTCAGTATCTTCGTAGTCTATGCAATATGTTAGTTAAATTCATTCATGTTTAATTACTTAAACCTTAAATTCTAATCTGGGTCTATTGTTAAATATTTTGGGATCTCATGGGGTCTGTGTACAGATCTTTTTACAAACTTAAATAATCTGTATACGTCATTCTATTAAATTTCTTGTATTAGTTGTTAATTTTACTAATTGAAAATTTCTGAACCTCTATTTTATTGAGTTAAGTAAGGTACACACACAATTTGCAAAAAGTAGAGTAAATATGACTTTTCAAGATGTTTTCTAATAATAAAGAATTTTTAGCCTTCCTAAAGTAAAGTATGTGATCAACAAATTTTATGAAACAACGTTTCATATCAAAACCGTGAAAACAACCTTATATTTAGCGTAGGTATAATGAAACACTCAATCGATTTCGAGGGCAGCTAAAGGTCCCTCCTCATCAGGAGAAAGAAATACATAGAAAGAAGAAAATAGGAATCACAGAAACACGTGGTGCTTATCAGCACTGCACGTCGTTATAACTAGATTTTTAATCAGAGTTGCACTGGCCGCCTACTTTTACTGAGCCAGGCTGTCTGATCAAGCATAAAGAAATATTAGCGAAGTTAAAATAGGGAGCGAGGGGCAAATGCACATTACGCTCAAAATCTGAACTTCAAATAATGGAAAGCAACCACTGAACAGATTTTTATACCCTCTGGTAGTACCAAGTGCGAGGAGGTAATGCCATCTATCGGCAAAAATAATTGAATTAAGACAGTAGAATTTTAAAGGCATTAGGAAGGACTGGATTGGACTTCAAATCATTAACTAAACTTTCTAAATCTTTGTGAATGTGAAAAGCCTCAAGAAAATCCAATTCGCCTATGGAAGAAGCCTTTTGGATGATTTTTGCAGACCCAAAATCAAAATTATGGTTAAAAGTCCAGCTATGATACGCTATTGAAGACTTGTTAATTTCCCCTTTTTTGACATAAGATTCATGTTCCTTGATACGAAACTTCAACGCTCTTTTTGTTTGGCCAATATATCTTAAACCACACTGACATGATATACTATAAATTCCCCAAGAATTCAAGACAGAAACGCAATCTTTTAGAATCGAAGGGTGAATTTTATTAATAGGGGAGAAACCGACTTGAAAATTGAATTTCTGGAGAATCCGTGCAATTTTATAGCTAACAGAAGGATAAAATGGAAGCACGACAAGGTCATTGATATTATTTCTAACAGTGGAATGTCTTCTTTGATGGGAATCTGAAAATTTTTTGACGGCTTTATCAATAATCACGGGAGAAAATCCACGGTCAATCGCAACTGCTCTCAAATAATTAAGTTCATTGGTAAGCAAAGATTCAGAGGAACAAACTTTTAGCGCGCGGAAAACATAATAGTAAAAAGAAGCCATTTTTTGCTTAACAGGGTGGCATGACTTGGCATGGGGTGGTAAACAAACTGCAAAGGGTTTACGGTACACAGTGGTGCTAAAATCGGTTTCATTGCGGATTATAAGAATATCGAGGAAGGGGAGGGAATTGTTGGATTCAATTTCAAGAGTGAATTGGATGGCTGGATCAATTGAATTCATAATAGATAGAATCTCGGATAAATCCTCTTTATAACCGTCAAAAAGTGCGAAAGTGTCGTCAACATACCGAATCCAAAGACGAAAAGATAATTTATCAAATAATTTCATCTCAAAATAGTGCATATAAATGTCAGCAAGTACCGGACTGAGAGGATTACCCATAGCCAATCCTTCAACTTGACGAAAATATGCATTTTGGAAAACAAAGTGGGTTTGACTTAGAGAAACTTTAGTAAGCGAAACCAACTCATTAATTTCAGTATGTGTGAAGTGAAATTCCCGAAGCCTAGTTTCAAGACAATTTAGTGCTCCTTCGACCGGAACATTAGTAAACAATGATTTGACATCAAATGAAACCATAATGGAACGAAAGTGGGGAAATATTTTTAAGTTTATCAATGACTTCAACAGAATTTTTTACAGTGTGAATATTGTTATCAAGTAGAGGAGAAAATCTGGAAACTAAATATTTGGCCAAAGGATATGAAGCAGTACCTATGTTGGAAACAATTGGTCGAAAAGGAATACCGGTTTTGTGGACTTTTGGAAGAGCATAAAGTCTAAGCGCAATTAGTAATAGGCGGAATAAGTGATTTCTTCAACTGAGTTGGCAGAATGTGGGAAGATTTAATAGCACTTTTTACTTTCATGAGGTCCGAAGTTGAAGGATCTTTAGGGATCGAGCAGTATGGGCCTTCATTTATCAATTTAGAGACTCCAGTAATATATGTGTGTTTGTCCATAACAAC